AATATAAACTATAACCCAGAAGAATGGAGATTGTTTATAGACAGTTCAACATTGAGTTTAAAGGCAGTGTTATTGCATATTGGAAATATTTTACCATCTCTTCCTGTAGGGTATGCAGTTCACATGAAAGAATCATATGACAATATGAAGTACCTTTTGACATGCATAAAATACGATAAGCACCAATGGCATATTTGTGGCGATTTGAAAGTTGTTGCACTTTTACTTGGGCTGCAGCTAGGCTACACAAAGTTTTGCTGTTTTTTGTGTGAATGGGACAGTCGGGCAAAGGCACTTCATTACACCAGACAAAATTGGCCTGTTCGTCAATTCCCAGAGCCAGGTCAAAAAAATGTACAGCATATGCCATTAGTAGATTCGAAAAAAAAATTATTACCACCACTGCATATCAAGTTGGGCCTAATGAAAAACTTTGTCAAGGCATTAGATACAGATGGGTCAGCTTTTCAATACCTGCGTCAGAAATTTCCAAGACTAAGTGAAGCAAAGGTTAAAGAAGGTATTTTTGTTGGGCCACAGATTCGAAATATTTTGAAAGATACACAGTTTGAAAGCACGTTAACAGGTATTGAAAAAACTGCTTGGAATGATTTCCGTCTGGTGGTCACGAATTTCTTGGGAAAGAGAAAAGCTGACAACTATAAAACCCTTGTCAAAAATATGCTGTCATCGTATCAAAAGATGGGCTGTGATGTGTCTCTTAAGATACATTTCCTACACTCACACCTGGACTTTTTTCCTGACAATTGCGGAGCCGTAAGTGATGAGCACGGCGAACGTTTTAATCAGGATATTTCAACGATGGAAAAAAGGTACCAGGGAAAGTGGAATCCTTCCATGCTTGCAGACTACTGTTGGATTCTTGGTAGAGATGCTCCAGAAACGATCCATAAAAGAACAGCAAAAAGACAGCGCATATAGTGATTCTTATAAGTATATGAATCTTGTTACTTTTTTTAATATATCCTTAAAAATAAAAAGTTTTTTCTCTAAACCGCAACTAATCTTTTTATTTCATTGTCATTTTTGGATTCAGCGCCCCAAAATTAACAAAGCAGTGCACTTTTCCCACAAGATACAATTAAAAAACTAAAATTTGTTGTCCAGTGTAATTTATCTTAATAGGTGATGTTGTACCAATCTTACAAAATCAACATTACTTGCCAGCAGTATGTAGTTTTTTATTTATAAACTCACACCCTGTATAATCAAACACTTTTTAGTCCAATACCTGGTTTCAGTCTTCCGAAGATCCCTTGACACTGACAAAGCGCTATGCTGCTATCATTCCTGAACGAGTCCATTTCCAGTAATATTTTGACTGACGTCTGCCGTATCTGACTTGAAAGTTATAACGAGTAATATACTTAGTTCATTCGCTTAATTAACGTACATCTATCAGCTAAACTTTAATTTTTAAATGTTCAAGAAAATGTATGGACACGAGTTGATTCTCACCCTTTGATGAAGTTGAATTTGATACAAAATATTCTTAGATCCTTCTTGGAATGTACAGATATTAATTTCCGCGGCAGCATAATTTCGTTTTTTAAAATATGGAGACTATAAACTTCCTCCATCAAGGTTGAAGCGTGCTTTTGCCGTTGAGGCCTAGTTTTTGCCCTGTCTCGGAACGGAAATTAATTGTTACTGGGGTCCCTAAGTTCAGTCAAACTGCAAGTGCGACAAGACGAAAAACCTTGGCCCTTTGGATCATCTGAAAACATTGAGCTTCAATGTTGCGATCTTCTCCGAGTTTTGCGCGTAAACATACGTCTGCCCTTGCACTTTCTGATCGTTCTGTGAGGAGAATTCTTCATGATGATCTTCACTTCCATCCTGACAAGATGGAAATTGAAGGGGCACTTCTCACGCCTCGTCAATTAGGTGCGTTTAGGCGTGGGCGGCCAGCTCTCCAGATTTGGCCCCATGTGATTTTTTCTATCGCTTTTTTTGACATCACGCCTTTATGCGAACCGTCCAAGGACCTCATAAGATTTGAAGACCCACATCCTATGCTGACACGAGTGATGATGTGTCGTTACTGATTTGATCTTCAAAAGTACTACGTTACCAAAAATAAATAAAAATCTGATTCGTAGAATGGGTTTTCAAGTTTTGAAAAAAGGAAGTTGTGCTGCCGAGTCGTGTATAAATAATCTGCAATGTTGAGTCATGTGACATCACGGTTTTGAAACATACATCATAAAAGGGTGTAAATGTAAATCTATTAGTGACAAATATCAGTATCGAAAGTGGTGCAGTTACATCTGAGATATCTAAATGGAGAAAATGATACTTGATGAAAACTGGCTGGTTTTTGGTTTAGTTATTATCATCCTTAAATAAAAACCATATTATGATTACTATTGACTTCACTGGTTTACGATCACTACGCGATTATTTTATACATAAAAGCTCTAAAAGATACGTTAAATAATCTTGAAAGTGCAGTTCAAAAATATAAATTTTGTACGAGTACACTGTTAATTTCATAATTTATAGACGTTTGAAAATATACTTAGAATCAGTCTTATACATAGCTTAATTGTGGATCATTCAGACAAAATTATAACCAGTCGATTAGCGAGTCATCAAGCCTGAGCTAAGTTATCTTTTTTCATTGGAATCGCTGTCTAAATTCTCCACAGTACAAGAATTCTCGGTTGAAGAATCCCGATATAAATCAAATGACACCCAAATTAAAAAATTGCACATTCAATTAGGAAAAGAAACTTTTGATATTCAAACATATTTCGATGCCCAATTCATTGTCTAATTTTGTAGAGGAGAAAAAACATACGACTTCAATCGACACACAGCAAACTTACCGACTCCAGATATCATTATTTAAATATAGTAAATTTTTCCTTTTTGTTAAAAGACCCCTGGCAAAAAATCAAAATTACCATTAATTTCTGCGCATAATACGCAGAACTGCAGAGACCAATTACTTAAAAAGTTGACGTTTGATAACACTGGTCAACACTGGTTTTGCCACACGAACTTTGACAGCTAATTTTGTTCTAACAGTCTACCCTCATTATTACACGACAGCTGTCATATGTCTATTAGCCTCATATTTGTTGTGATACGGTAATACTCATAACTAGTACTACGGCAGTAAATTAACAGAAACGCTTACAAGTAAATCCTTATAAAAATATTTGTTGTTGAATTTGAACACTTTTTTGTGATTTATTAACCCTGTGAATATGTCGAGGAAGTGTAATAATGATCCTAACTCTTTTTGTTATGTCTGCGGAGAAATAACATTCAAAAAACAACGACGAAATTTTACGAATCTTGTGTTGGAGTGTTATCACCAATGTTTTGGTTTTTCTGTCGCCCATCAAGACAAATCCTGGGCCCCTCATGTCTGTTGCATAACGTGTGTGAAAAATTTAACTGACTGGAAGAAAGGTGCATGACCTATGCCGTTTGCTGTACCCATGATATGGACTGAACAGCGAGATCACGTTTCAGATTGCTATTTTTGTCTCACAGACATGAAACGTATAAATTACAAGAAAAAAACCACAGTTATTTACCCTAACTTATCTTCGGCTATAAGACCAGTCTCTCTTTGTAAAAAATTGCCAGAACTAATACCAGTTGCAGCTACGTCTGTCGAGAACAATTCACAACCGTCCACTTCAGGTGAATGTGTTGACGAGGACGATGACTTTGAGTTAAAAGGAATTGTAAACGAGCCACATTTGATAACTCAAGGAGACCTAAATGATTTGGTTCGGGATTTAAATTTGTCAAAAAAGCAGTCAGAACTATTAGGATCACGTCTAAAAGAATGGAATTTGCTACATCATAATACGAAAGTTAGCTATTTTCGAAACCGTGATCAACACTTCAGAACGTATTTTTCTCAGGATGGAGATTTGGTGTTTTGCAATAACATAAATGAGATTATGAAAATGTTGGACATAGATTTTGATCTCTCTCAGTGGCGTTTATTCATTGATTCTTCGAAAGCAAGTCTAAAAGCAGTGTTATTGCATAATGGAAATAAGCTTCCGTCTGTACCTTTGGCCCATGCTGCAAATATGAAAGAAACCTGTGAAAATATGAAACTTTTACTTGAAAAAATAAATTACAGTACATATTCCTTCAAAATCTGCGGTGATCTTAAAGTTGTTGCACTATTACTTGGACTTCAGCTGGGTTATACAAAGTTTTGCTGCTTTTTATGTGAATGGGATAGCCGAGACAGAACTAATCACTATATAAAAAAAACATGGCCTACGCGTGCATCGTTAGTTCCTGGGCAAAAAAACGTAAAGTATTTACCCCTTGTACAACCAAATAATGTGCTTCTACCACCATTGCATATCAAATTAGGATTAATAAAAATTTTTGTGAAGGCAATGGATCGCAATGGGAGTGGATTTTTGTATCTAAAAGAAAAAACCCTAAAATAAGTGATGCAAAGATAAAAAAGGGTATTTTTGTTGGCCCTCAAATTAGGGAGTTAATAAAAGATTCAAAATTTGAAGAAAAATTAAGCGATTTAGAAACATCTGCATGGAAGGCTTTTAAAAATGTTGTTTCAAATTTTTTGGGTAACCACAAGAGTAACAGCTACAGAGAGTTGGTTAGCGAGCTATTATTGTCATATCAAGCATTGGGTTGCAACATGTCACTTAAGATCCATTTTTTAGACTCGCACCTGGCTTTTTTTCTTGACAATTTAGGGGCTGTCAGCGACGAGCACGGTGAGAGGTTCCATCAGGACATTTCTAATATGGAAAAGCGGTACCAGGGCAAATGGAGCCCAAATACGTTAGCAAATTACTGCTGGACAATTAAAAGGGACCAACCAGAAGCTAAATATTCAAGAAAATCTTAGATTATTAAGTCATTTATAAAAAAAAATAAAATCCTTGTCTAGCTAATTTTTTTTAACTGTTTATTTTTTCTTACAATCACCAATTAAAGTGAAAAATATCAAAAAAGTCCGTGTGGCACGACAAAGTTAAAATTTTGTTGACCAGTGTAATTATCTGAGATATTTTCAAAATGGTGGCGCTTCCGGTTGCACCGGAAATAGATACCAAGTTTCTTATTTTTTATTGTGATCAAACACCTTTTCGCACGCCATAGACAATGTAACGTTGCAAACTTAAAGAATAACCGTTCTGTAATTTTATTCATGTCTTCAAAGAATTTATGAAGCAGAATTTTGTACAGCCTCAATGAGACACTGTTATTTTCCATAAAATGCAATTTAATTTAGTATTAAAAATCTTTTGACCGAATTCATTATATTAATACAGTAATTCGTAATTGTCAAAGTTTGGAATAATTGACAAGTGCAGTTCTACGTGTGACACCCTGTATAAAAGAGCAGTATTCCCAAGCTTAATTTAAATGGAATGAAAAGTCCGGATTGCTGCACAAATAAACTTAGTATAAATAAAAAATCCTTGACCAGAAACAAATCATTAAAGATCAGATGGAAGTGGATTCTGTTTGCTGTGTTGTACATACGACATGCATGGTACTGCTTTGTGCAGATGCTGTCGTTCATCTTCTATGTTGAAAATCTGCATCACATGGATGGAGCCTGTGGTTTAACCGAATGGGAATGAGCGACAATCCATACAGGTCTAAAATTCAATAATAAATACGTGATGTATTTGCCGCTGTGTTTTTACCTACTCCCTTTACATGCTCCATCCGTTTGAAAATTTCATTTATTGACTATATGCAATTTACTACACGATCTCTTAGTGTAATAGTGGCGCCACCGGGCGTATTATAGGCCTTGCAATATCAGACGACTTATAGCCAAAGAAATAACCAACATTTCCCAGTGCAATACTAACCCAAATGCAACTATAATTCAGATATTTGTTCACGTTTCCGAAATGGCCATATGGAAGATGTTGGGCTACTTTTTTGACTTATAAAAAATATAGAACCCACGTATTAAATGCTAACAAATAAATTTTCGAAGCACCGTATATAATGAAACTTGCAGATTGCACCGAAAAACTAAATGAATATTGCTTTGTTCAGTGGCCGAGTTTTTTTCCACCTCGAGGTTTTATCGTCTCGGATAGCTTCCACATAGCGTCTTCGCCGATGTAGTCGTTGAAACTTTGGAAGAAGTTTATTATCTTTTCTTGTCTTTTGAACGTGTAGGTCCTGCAAGTAATATCAGGTTAGTAACGAAACTGTGGGATGGAAAACAAATTCTAGCTGTTGCCTTTACGACAAGCTTTTACTATTTTTGAAATTGATCACCACGTAAAAACATTTGTCAAGGGAACAACTTTTTAACCAAAAAAATACCCCCTTCACCCTCTGCCCCCCAAGGTCATCTTCTTGAAAATTTCAAATGACAAGGGGTATCGCGTAATAGCTTGTTTGAAAGGTCTTTCGAAGTTTGATTTTTTAAAATTGGTCAATTCGTTTTCAAGAAAATAGAAAAATCTCTAACTTAATTTGTTCAGGTAGAAAAAAAACACACGAAAACATCAATTTTTATTTTAATAAGTGTTCAAAATGTTGGCAGCTTTTGATGATGCGTGGACGAAGTTCATTGTTGGGGTGTGAACACAATAGATTTTAAGTGGCCCCATGGAAAAAAGTCTAATGGCGTCAAATCAGGAGATCTAGCTGGCCATTCTATAGGTCCTCTTCGCCCTATCAATTTATCTGGGAACTTGTCGTCCAGCCATTGTCGAACCGGAAGAACATAAAGAGCTCCGTCTTGTTGGAAATATATTTCATCCTCTTCGATTTGGTTTTCAATGGTTTAAGCGGATTGATAGTATTTTCCAACACATCCAAATAAATGACTCCATTATCATTTTCCATTAATAAACTTCACTTTGTTTTCTAAATTGCCATCTTCGTTCAACTCTTGCAATATTTTCATTTTGGATGGACGACATTTATGGAGTTTAGTAATTGTGTGTACAGAGCCTAATGAAATACCAGTCACAGCAACAATTTTGCGTAATGAAGTAATGGGTGCGCCATATATTACTTTTTTTACCTATACGTTACCATGTCAGTCAAAAGTCATGTGGTATGCATGAATGAACTGTCAAAGGTATGCCATTTATAGTCATGGATTCGTTTACAACACAACAACGCATTTTGGTTATCCAAACTTATTACGACAACGGTCGAAATATAAAAAATACGTTTCGTAAACTTCGCACTAGTTTTGGCCGACATTGATGCCCTACAGAGCCTGGAATTCGTTGGATTGTCAATCGTTTTGAGGAAACTGGTTCAGCTGAAGGTCGTAGACCATATCAACATGCTCGTCCAGTTCGTACTCGTGAAAACATAGCCGCAGTGAGCGAGAAGATCCAATCACCTCGACTACTCACCATTCGCAATAATTGGGAATTAGTGAGACCACTTTACGCCGGATTTTACACATTGATTTACACCTCCTTCCATACAAAATCCAACTAACGCAAGAATTGAAGCCAGCAGACCATCAACAGCGGTGTGTTTTTGTTAATTGGATGGTGGAAAGAGAAGACGGATTTTCGGCCAAAGTGCTGTTTTCTGATGAGGCTCATTTTCACCTTAATGGGTACGTAAATAAGCGAAATTGCAGATTCTAGGGGGCTGAAAATCCACACCAATATCATGAACAACCTCTCCATCCTGAAAAAGTGACTGTTTGGTGCGGATTATGGACTGGTGGCATCGTTGGACCATTCTTCTTTGAAGATGCCGAAGAAAAGGCCATTACCGTCAACGGGGAACGTTATCGCGGCATGTTAATAGACTTTTTGTGGCCACAATTGGATCGTATTGGTTCCGACGATCTTTGGTTTCATCAACGGCCCACACAATTGCCTTATTGCGCACGGAATTTCAATACCGCACAATTTCACGAAATTCGGATGTCAGTTGGCCCCCAAGATCGTGCGTTTTAACACCTCTTGACTATTTTCTTTGGGGATTTTTGAAAGGAAAAGTGTATGCGAATGGTCCCCGGACAATTTAAGACCTAAAGCGCAATATTCGGACTGAAATTGCGGCCATAGACCAGATTATTCTGAGAAAAGTCTGATGTCTGAAACGACTGATGTTATTTTTCATATATAAATGGCATAAACCAACCTACATTTACCAATAAAAAAATTCGATTTCACCTCGTAAAAAGCGTGTTGATTTTTCAAATAAAAAAAAGTAATAGATGATTAGGATTTATTCAAAAAGGACCCAAAACTTCAACTTGAGCGGCCTCATCCAAAACTCTCCGATGATCACGTAACAAGGTCCAAAATATACCTATGCAAAGTTATTTTCCCTGGATGTCTGGCGTTAAACCTGACGGCAGTTTGCCGAGCATATTGATTATGGGTACCATTAATTAAAATCATTTTCACTCTTGCGGATAGTGTGTAAACCATTTTGGAAGTATAATCCATAAATTAATTTTCACTATCCCAAGATTGTCATAAAGGTAACTGACAGCAAATTAAATTATTTATTTCCCTTAGCAACAAATAACTAAGCAAGAATGCGGAAAAAAATTCGGGTTGTTATTTGGTTGTTGCCATGTCTAATCTTCCGAATTGGTGTTTATGTTGGTAGTTCCTGTTTTTAATTATAAACGAATTGTTGATTTGGCAAACCCTAACGGGCAACATTTTGAACATTTATTGGAATAAAAAGTGATATTTTCGTGTGTTTTTGTTTTCTATCTGAACGAATTAAGATGAATAAATATTTTTCTAATTTTCTCGAAAACGAAGCGACCGATTGTAAAAAATCAAACGCCACAAAAAAAGGACTTCGAAAGCCCTTTCAAACAAGCTATTACTTGATACCCTTGCGGTTTAAAATTTTTAAGGGGATGACACTGGAGGGCAGAAGGTGAAGTAGTTTTTGGTTAAAAAGTTGTCTCCCTAGACAAATGTTTTGACATGTCTCAGCGTTTTTTCTTTCAAATGAAGACACTGCTTTAACAATGCTAAATTCTGGCGTGGCAAAAATCATAAATTGGCTAAATGTAAATAAACTAAAAGTGAATGCTTCTATGTACCGGGTGCGCCATCTTTTGTGTCGGTATCGAAACATCGAATTACTTTTGAGATTCACCAACCGAGTGTTTCTGAAACGTCAATTTACTACAATTTTAGTCATGAATCGCTTTACACCGAATCAACGCGCCGAAATAGTCACAATGTACATTGAAAATCGTCGTTCAGTTGTGTTAACGCAACGTGCATATCGTCGAAAATATCGTGGCAAACAGGCACCGTCTGACAACACTATCCGTCGTTTGGTTTCGAATTTTCTTGAGTACGGGACAGTGGGAGAAAGTCAACGTACCGTTCATCAACGACCAAGACGTTCCAACGAAGCGGTCAGAGACAGCGTTGCCCAGAACCCAAAAGTGTCGTATCGTCACCGTGCTCACCATTTTGGCATCAGTGGAACCACGTTGCGGCGCATTTTGAAGGATGATTTGCGTTTGTTTCCTTATAAGGTGCAGTTAACACAAAAAATATTGCCAACTGACAGTCCACGTCGCTTGGAATACGCCCAAACAGTCGCTCGCATGGTTGAAGCTGAACCTGATTTTTGGAAGCAAATTGTGATGACCGACGAGGCCAATTTCACGCTTCCTGGCGGTGTTGGATATTTAAATCCACATGAGATCCAAGCCGTTGCATGACTGAAAAGTGACTGGTTTGGCGGCGTTTGCGCCAAAACCATCATTGGGCCATTTTTCCTCAACGAAAACGAAACGGTCGATGGAAATCGATATCGGTGGATGTTAGCTCATCACAAATGCGTGAAAAAGGTCTTGATGGTTACTGCTTTCAACAAGACGGTGCGCCATGCCACACTGCAAATGAAACAATCCAGTTTCTGCAACGAAAATTCCCTGGACGATCTCAAAAAGAGGTGACATTGACTGGCCACCCAGGTCTCCAGATTTGACCCCACCGGACTTCTTCTTGTGGGGTTATTTGAAAAGTCAAGTGTACGCTACCACGCCACAGTCCACTGAAGAACTCAAGGCAAACATTCGTAACGCAATCGCCACCATAGATGCTCGAAAAAGTAATGGAAAACGCAGCAAAACGGGCAAATTTTGTTTTGGCCAATAAAGGTGGCCACTTCATAGATGTGTTCAAAAGCTAGTCTCAATAAATTGTAAAGGATCATATTTAATAAAAATACCCGATATATAGAAATCAGTTTTTCGTTTTCAAAGTTATTTCATGCTTACATACCGACATAAAAGATGGCGCACTCTGTAGTGTGAGCAAAATTTTGGTTTCAATCACCTTTCAATGATGCTTGATTTCCATGGTGATGGTTTTCAATAAATAAAGAAAAATAAATACGTATTGAATATTTTTTGTTTGTTATGATTTTAACTGGAAATAGTTTTAACGGTACTGTATATGAAAACTCTGAAAGTATTTAGTTATATTGCAGTCTTAAAAACTCATTTTTGGGAATGTGCAACATTTCGCATGGACTACCTCTTTTCTGTTCGTTAAGTAAGTTATATTTTTTAAGTATCCCTGTGTAGTGTATGCTAATAGGGAAATACCTAAATGAAAATACTGTCACAGTTAGGATAAATGGTGTAATGGTTGAAAATGTATGGACGCAGGAAAGTAAACGCATATTAAAACAAGAAAGATTGATATTCAAATCAAGTTGGGTACTTTATTTTGAAGGTATACCATTTATGTATGAAAAATAATATCGCTCAAATGTTCACCACGACTGGATTTACAGACGTCCACGCGATGGTCGAAATTTTCAATGACATTTTTCAACATGGTCGGTTCTATGGCATTTATCTCGGCAATGATGTTGTTTTTGAGTTCTTGGAGGGTGGCTGGTTTGTTGACGTAGACTTTGCTTTTCAAATATCCCCATAAAAGGAAGTCCAAGGGAGTCAAATCGCACGATCTTGGTGGCCATGGCACATTTCCTCTGCGCGAAATCACACGATCACCGAAGGACTGCAATCGATGGATATTGACGTTGGTTGTGTGGCATGTTGCACCGTCTTGTTGGAAATAAACATCGTCCATATCCATTCCTTCAAGTTGCGGCAAAAAATAGTCCTCTATCATCACGTGATATCGCTCAGAATTGACGGTAACGCCGTCCCCGGCCGCATTTTCGAAAAAGTAAGGTGCGATGATGCCTTTTGACCACAATGCACACCACACAGTCACTTTTTGAGGATGCATCGGCTGCTCTTGATACTCACGGGGATTTTCGCGGCAGTTTTGCTTGTTTACCGTCCCATTCAAAGTGAAATGCGCCTCGTCGCTGAACATGATTTTTGATGAAAAATTGGCATCAATTTGGCGGTGTTCATGGAGCCAATCTGAGAACGTTCGGCGCGAAAAATGGTCGGCTCGACACAGCTCTTGCGTCAATTGGATCTTGTAGGCGTGTACATTCAAATCCTTGTGGAGAATGCGGAGCAAACTGGTTCTCGAAATGCCCAATTCTTGGGATCGACGCGATGTTGATTGTTTCGGATCGTCTCTCACACTCTCCTTCACAACAGCAATATTTTCCGGTGTGCGAACGGTCCTTGGCCGGCCAGAGCCTGGCAGATTTGCCACAGAACCTGTTGCCTCGAATTTACGCACCAGACGACCGATGGTTATTTCGTTTGGGCGGTTGTTGCGACCGAAATGTTCACGAAGCGCGCGAAACGTGTTTTTTATTTTTGCACCATTTTTGTAGTGCTCTTGAATAACTTTAATGCGGTCTTCAATCGAATACGACTCCATAGCGATCAATGGTAAACATTCAACTAACAAAATGACATGTCGGTGACAGAAAACAAAGATGGCGTCTATGTCAAATTGGCGTTTACTTTCCTGCGTCCCTATTGGACAACCCTTTAGAATCAATTGAATATTTAGGTATATATATTGATAGCAAACTAAAGTTTGAGTATCACTATGAATGCATTACTTCAAAAATTGGAAAAAAATTACTTTTATCTGCTTTCTCATAGTCTTAGTACATATTCCAAAAAAAAAACGGTTTATAAAACAATTATTTCACCACCATTATTAGATTGTTCAACAATCGTGTTCACTGCCAATGAAGCTGTATTCTCAAGATCATTGGTGTCAATTTCAGACAGCAAGTAATGTTATAATGGCGCGATGACGGTCGACTAGTACCTCTAAATACTACAGAGATATCTGAAAAACTGATCATGTGCAATTTGAGAAGAAACGCTACCGTAAAATTGAAGAGTTCTGTTAATTGAAATGCGTTTAGAAATCTGATAAATCCAAAGTTTCCGTGGCATCCGATCGCTTTTTGGGAAAATAAACTACAGTACTGTTTCGTGGACGCTGAGCGTGTTTCGAACCCGTCGGTTTACAAAAAAAAAAACTTCTATTGTTCTTTTTACCACCCCCTGTTAAGTATTCAAGTACTTACGCTTTATTGAACTTCTTCATATTTTCGACAATGTTGAACTGCTGCCACCTCTTGGAAAAGTTGATAGAACCGTCTGGTAACAAATTTGGATTTCCTATGTGGACGAAAGTCAAGTCTTGTAGCACCAACCCGCTGAAATCGAAATGACGCCAATTTTATTGCACAGTGTCCTTTTTGTATTCCATCGCAACTACGAGGGTTGTTCCAAAAACAAGGTTCCCAGCGCTGCAAGTTTGCCACGGGTGCCGAAAACGTTTCCACCCATAAAAATTCGTCGCTAGTTGTGCGGAGTACATGATGGTCCAGAATGTTGAGCGGATTTTAAAAAATCATAGAAAAAATAACTTCAAAGCGTACGGAAGATAATTAATGTTTTCAATGAAGTAAACACATGGGAATTTTATTTTCTAAAAATAACATCATTGGGATATGAGCCGTCGAGACGTACCCACTCTTCGAATCTCGACTTTAAATTCGTGAAAACTCGCTCGTGGGGTAGCGGACATCTCTTCGGAATTGTTGTGCGTAAGCTGGGCAATCATCGTCGGTTTATTATTATTTATTATACAGGGTGTAAACGTTATGATAGTCATTATTTAAATGGGTGATAGAGGGGTTTATAAGAAGCTAAAAGTTTCATATAACATGGGGTCAAAAAGGCATTTTTAAAAGATCGAGGTATTATTTCATTATTGATAATGTACTCGTAAAATGTAAACAATTAAAAAAGAAAGGACTTACCACTAACTGTCTCAGCGCTTCACCTGGTGTGTCAAGTTTATTAAACGTATTAAAAAAATCCAGTTATAAATAGGGAACACAGTTTTGATACATACATTGTTTTTCTTTTTAAAACCCACATTGCACTTTTTTGTATTTAAAGAAGGTGTTTAAAATGTCGTCTTCCACTTTCCACACAAGCTTCATTATGACGAACCCAGTTTCCTCTTACTCTAGGTCTTCGAAGTTGTCCATTTATGATTTCAGCCGCATTAAAAATTATCCGCGAAGTTGTGCTTCAGGTGTTATTGGACCAGCCCCATAAACCATCCCTTTAAGTTCTCCCCAATACCAGAAATCCATCGGATTGAGGTCAGGAGATCTTGCTGGTCATTTTCGAGGATCAGGAGCATTTCGACCGATCCACAGTGTGGCGCCCAATGGACAAAATTACTCAAAAACATAATTTTCGACATTAGAATTCTGTTGCTTTTATTATACCATTGGATAGATAAATAGTCACTGCAACACGTAAGTATAGTACTTTAATCAAGTTGGCTGCGATTTACCTATTTTAGCAACTTTAAAGTTAGACATGCCGAGACCTGTCAAGAAGGCGAAAAATCTCTCTGTTTTATTGCTCGGGAAAGATATAAATTTTGTGTCGAAATATTTAAATATTTTAACTTTTCCAATATGGCTGGTAATGAGGCTGGTAAGTACATTATATTGATGTATAGATTTGTTTAAAATATAATTATAATTAGATAATTTTTCAAGATAAAGTGACTATTACCGATTTTTTTATTTTTTTTTAAACTTTTGACTTTGTTTAGAGTTTTACAAAAATCACCTCCCATCACCCTAAAAATTTTTTAATTTATTGTTTATCTGTCCATAGTAAGTTTTGATAAAAAGTTTAAATCACGTCATGCCACGTCTAAGGGAGATATAATTTTTTGTAGGACATGGTGCTATTGTCAGAAATAGAGATTTGATTGATGTGTGGATAGAAGCACCGAGAGGAAATAGAAAACAGGTGGTTTATGAAAAGATATTATCACTTATTGATATAACAGATGAACCTTCCAAACATCTTAAAAGTAATATTATGAAATGCAGCCAGTTGTTTGGGTTGAAAATGGCAAATAAATGGCAGAAAGTAGGACAATCTCGGAATCGACTTTTACAAAATCAGGTATATTGGTTAGACAAGATTATATATAGAATAAATAATGATTCTGAAGAAAACACATCTTCGGATGAGGAACAAGAACCTCCTTGTTGCTCAGTTGGACGGCCACGGGTGCCATTTGAAGGGGCATCGAAGAAAACAAAACGAAGACGTGTAGCCGAACTAACCACAGACAGATCTGCAAATGAACTTCAATTTGCTGTAAATGTCGTTTCTGGAAGCAATCACAGTGAGGTCTCGCCACAAATTTTTAGTTTTAGTACAGCTGAAGCTTTAGCCCTTATGGTAGATTTGGATATATCCGTAAGAAAGTATTTGCTACTTAGGTCTGTTATTAATGGTAAGGCCCAGAACTGCCTTCCTAGTTATACAGAATTACAGAAACCAAAAAATGCTATCCTCCCTTCACAATTTATTATTACTGAAATTTCTGCAGAAGTTGATTTGCAAGAACTTGTACAGAAAACAGCTGAAAGTATCCTTGAAATAATAAATTTTGAAGAGAGAGATTGCCGGATTAAAGTGATATGCAAGTGAGGATTTGATGGCAGTTCTGGGGATAGCCAATATAAGCAGAAATTTTCTGATTTAGAAAACACCGACGAATTTCTGTTTCTTGTAGCAATGACGCCACTCAGATTGATTGATATGGAAACGAATAAGGTATTGTGGAATAATGAGAGCCCTTCATCTACTTTATATTGTAGGCCGATCAAGTTTTTATTTAAAAAGGAAAATGCTTATTTATTGCGAAATACGGAAAAGGAAATAACAAAAATTGAAAATTTGATTCCTATTGTGATTAAAACAAAAGAAGGGCACTCTTATATAATTGAAGTTGATATGATGTTAACAATGTTGGACGGCAGTGTTGGAAACGTTCTATCAGAGACAAATTCAACTATGAAGTGCATCATTTGCGGAGTCACACCCAAGGTCATGAACACGTCAGCAGGGATTAACCGTCCTCCTAACGTAGACAATTACCGGTTTGGTTTGTCAACTTTACACTGCTGGATTCGTTTTTTTTGAATGCTTACTCCATATTGGATACCGCCTGCCAATTAAATCCTGGCAGGTTCGTGGGCCTGAAAACAAAGCTATAGTCGAAGCAAACAAAAAACGAATCCAAGCAGAGTTCAGAGCCAAGCTGTCTCTAATAGTTGACAAACCAAAACCCGGATATGGCTCCTCAAATGATGGCAATACGGCCAGAATTTTTTTCCACAATCCACAAACAAGTTCAGATATCACAGGGGTTGACAGGGAATTAATCGAGAAATTTGCGATCATCTTAGGAGTGTTAGCTAGTGGTTGCGCTATTGATATGGAAAAGTTTGCGTCATTGCTGGAAGAAGCAAGAAATTTGTATATCCACCTTTATAAGTGGTACAACATGCGAAACACGGTACATAAGATCTTTGTTCATGGGTGTGAGATAATTGATGCATTTTGTTTGCCCATTGGAGAACTGTCGGAGGATGCGCTTGAGGCTCGCCATAAAGAGGTTAGGAAACATCGATTATCTCACACCAGAAAATGTTCAAGAACAGATACGAATAAGGATCTCATGCGTGTTCTTACTTACTTCTGATCCTTTTATATCCTCAAAAAGAAAGGTGAGCTCGAAAAAATATAAGAAATGCAACGAGGCAGTTCAGAACTATTTAAAAAAGCAAGAAAATGATGATTTAGGTATTGACTTAGGTACAATAACGAATGACACAGCACCGAGCAAGAAATCCTATTCCGATTAGAATGGGTATATTTTTTTAATATAGTTTATATTATTATTTCATACATTACCTACTAAGTAATTGTTATTTTGTTAAATATATTTTTTTAAATAAAAACCTAAATATCAATTTCAAATTATACAGATTTATTTTTTATTTGAATTATTCTTATTATTTTTTCAAATAGATGGACAAATTTAATAAATCATATTGCGCCCGCCACAAGTTGGCTACATTATCTTTAAATCATTCGGTGAAGATCTTGAAAAATAAAAGCGTGACTTTTTTGTCTCTCTTAAGAATGCTATAATAATATCCTACCTTATCCCAATTTATTCGAGATCATCAACTTAATATTTTGACTTTTACAAAAAAAAACGATTTAAAATAAATAATAAATAAAAATAATTTTTGTCATACTTTAGAAAGCTACTTAAATAAGTAATCACCCTGCGTTTACAGAATTCAAATAGGACCACTAGTTTTTAAGATATCGAATTTTGTCCCTGATCCCTGCGATCCAGCGATTTGGATAATGTTCATTCAAATACTGAATGACGCCTCTAAAAATCTATGGTGGTGCCCCTATTACCCATTCCAATAATGACTACCATAAGGTTTACACCAAAAAAAAAGTTACGTCACATTGCTGTGTGGATTCCACGTCTAAAAAAAGGCTTAAAAAATGACGACTATGTAGAAAAATAGCTGAAAGATCAACGTTTCCAATAGTAAATTCGTTTTTTCAAATAAAAAATTCCTTGCGCCTGGGAACCATATTTTTTGCCAACCCTCGTATAATACTTACATATAAGGAATACATGGAGGCTGAGTTTCTGCTAAAGCTTGTCTGTAGGCCCTGAAACTGGACGAACTGTCAATCAGCGCGCAATATTCCTTAAGCCCCTCTTGCACCTGTTTCTGCCATTCCAACCGACGCACAGGTGCCGAATCCAGCGCTGACAGCAGCGCCAGGTACGAATTGAAGTTGTTGATTTTGCGCAAGTGCTTCATGATTTTTATGAACTTCGTGAAGTATTTTTCGCGTGTATCTTTGTTCTCGGCTGTTAGAATTTTCGTTCTCGCCCTGAAAAATAAGATGAGAAAAATGGGAGACATCTAAGACCACTAAACACACTAATGGTCAAATTTTTGTGTATTTGTTGACATTACATAATTAGTAATAAAAAAGTATAAAAAAATAATCTCCAAAAGAAACTTGCATTTAAGTGGGCTTTTTTTCTCGAAAACTAAGTGGGATACGAAAAAAGTTCAACCAGTGGCGTACATTTTATGTCACAAATATTCGTTCAGGTCCCGCACGAGACGCCACTGGACTTAATAAATTCAATCAAGTTTAGCTCCTTAATATTATTAATATAATATAAAATTAGGTAAAGGATATTCAAGACATATACGAAAAACCATTTTTTTTAATTTCAACACTCTGTACTTGAGAACGAAGAATTTGCGGACCATGTTTATATGAACTTTTTGTCTGAAAATTACCCGAAGAATCGTCAGTTTAAAGGTTATGGTACATAATTAACACCTTGCATAGTAATCGAGAATTTCAATGTGATGTGTTGCGATAAATTAAAACCTTACCAATATGACATTTTATTAAAATGTTCCGTGAACATGGTAAGGTTAGGACTTCGCTCTTCGTTTTGCTCTTGCGCCCATATCAATACTTCGGGAATTTCGATTTTCATGAACAACTCGGCGTCAAGCAGAGTCATCTGTTCTGCTATCTGTTCAGATTTGAAGTCGAACAGGGTGAAATTTCTCGCGTTCAATGACAAGCTTGTTACTATGTTGGTATATCTGAAATAGGACGAGAATCATAAAAATTTGAATCTTGTACGGACAAAATAGAAAAATCTACTGTCAACACTTACTTGGACAACATTTCCTTGGCTTCGTGCCTTTGGAGTAGCTTGACTCTCAATGCTTTTGCTAAGGTCAGTTCTCCGCAAGATATGAGTTGCTGGACAAAATTCATCAACTTCAGTTGCAGTTCTTTATCCAAATCCAGGCTCCTAAAAGTCACAAATAATCGAAATTGCATTATTTATAATTTCTGGAGTTCCAATTTCAAAGGCAATAGCACAAGCCTAAGATAGTGTTTGCTTTAAAAAACTAGTCAGTAACTTGGGTGGGATTTTAGGTACCGAGCTATAAAACAAATATTGATTAATTAAAATAATATCCTTTATTGGGGGATTATCGTTTTGGGGAGCAAAAGGTATGTTGTGTTTGAGCAATGGCAGCTATCAATATAGCTCTGACTATTCTAAGCCTCACCCCGAACTCTTCCCACAAAAGGTTGGGATACACTTCTGTTCGAAATTGCGCACCAGACAAGGATTTTATCTGCAAATATCGCATTATGTTTATGGGTATTTCTCAACCATTTAGAAATCTCATTTTGCATGTCTCAAAAAAAATAATGTAGATATATCCTTTTTTTGCAGAAATATAAAGTTTTACTTTAGTGAGGTTCATTAAAAATGTAGGTCCTCCATATTTTTGTGTATAACATGTAGAAAAATGACTTTTAAAAAACTACGAAATGAGGGAATGACTGATAGGATAGGGGAATGCTTTTTACAACAATTTGATGCTGAATTTCAATAAAAAAACATAAGTTAATTTATTAATAGATGTATTGAGATTTGTTTTATATTTTAGAGAGCTTAGATAGTCCTTATTCGCTTCGTACATCCTCGTATTTTCATCCTTCTCTAAGAAATGCACAACATCACCCTTAACTTTCAGCCTTTTCTAACTAACTTTACGAGTACAGTTCTTTTTGTACGTATCGTTTTTTAAAAATGAGTCTTTTTTCTTTCAACGTCAGGAACTAGTATATTCTTTAAAAGCAAAGACACTCTAGTTGCTGGAGAGTTTGGATCAGTATTTTTAGTTTTCATTCTCAAACATCTCTTCTTATATTTTTCGCTAAGCTTGACTGCGTTCCTTACTTTATTTTCCAAACTTTTAATCTTCGCGTACAGAATAGTTCGCCGCTTGCGCATTCTACGTCTATTGAGAGCCGACAAATTCTCTGCTCTGTGCTGTAAAGATGGTGCAGGGCGTGGTGGGGGTGTTTCTTCGACTGTTCTCTATAAATTCGTTGGTAATGTAACTCGCTTTTCCCTATAAACTTTACTATTCGTTTTCCATTGTTTTCGTTTTTGGCTAGTTTCTCTTGCACTCACAGAACTTATTGAATTCTTCTTTAAATTTTTTAATCTTTCTTTTTCACGCAAATCTTATAAAGACTCAGCATTAATTTTCTTTTGTTCTCGCCTCTTTCTGTCGTAATCCTTCTTTTTTAATTTCTTTTCTTCTTCACTTAACTGCTTCATTTTCCCCATTCTTGATATACGGATATCTGTTGCTATAAAACCTGGAGTTGAACAATAACACCCAAACCACAATTTTATATATGCAAAAATCATTCCCTCATATAATTTTCATTGCCTCGCATTCTAATCTAGTGAGGGAATGACCGTGGGGAAATGACGGAATTGCATAAACGACACCGTAACCAACAGTACACCACCTCAAATTGATTTAGCATTTCGTGAATGGATTTTACTCCTCAAAACAAGAAAAAAATCACTCAAATTTTCGAACAGTATAATGACTTACCTTTTAATATAAACAGTGAGGTAATGACACAGAGAAATGTAATGTTCTAATTATTGAAATCCAATACTTTTTTGCACCAACTCTTTTCCCTATTAAGAAATTCCGCTATGTTGACATTATTAGCAGTATTGCCAAGATTTAAAAACATGACAGCTGCGTTCAAAAATATCAAACCAAATATTTATAATCGGTGAGGGAATGATTTCATTTCAAGGGGCATAGTTTAAATATTTTTTTTGATATGCATATTTATTTTTTAGCAATGAAAGCTTGACTATACAATCCATACTTATTACCAAATATTTTAGTAATATTCAATTTATAAGAATATGCACAGATTTGATTGTTTTATTATTAATTTCAGACCCAGGGACGAGATGAGGGAATGATTTTTAGACTAATAAATTAATCGTACTTTTTTGTGTCAATATATTATCTAAAATTTTTCTTTTAAAATATCAGTGTTGATACTTATTGATATAATAAAAATGTTAAATTGACGATAAATCCATGCAACTTAGCATCAATCAGGACATGAATTTCGAAGTTTGCTGAGCAATACCCTTGTATCTAACACTGTAATAAATTTTGTTTTTCCAAATTCGCATAGAAAAGAAACTAGTCTGCATTTTGATGTGACGACATATGTATTTAAAAATAATACAACCAACGGAAGTTGAGAATATAATTTAAATTTCGCAGGTCCGTGTAATTTGTCGGGCACCACAAAGCTACTTATTCACCATCATAAATTACATTTTTTTAGTAAATTTGTTGACTTACGTTAAATCGCTGACAACCCGCACGATCAATGCGAATGCTTCTCGTGACCTGGGCTTCTTATCAGGTTGGTAGTAGAAATAATTGTATCTTCTCATTAGTTTTGATATTAAATCGTATGGGGTTATGAATGTTCGATAAGTCGTCAGAAAGGCTTCTTGGTACATGAACACTGTAAAAACATAGAATACGTCTCAAGCATGGCTAATGCAAACATTTTACACAAAAATAGATAGTTATTATTAAATGAACTGCAATCAGTACGTGACGTGGGGAAAGTTTCAAAAAATTTAAATTTTAAAAGAATCTAGCTTTCATCCCACTTCCAAATAAATATTTTATCGTTTCACAGCAGAAATATTCGGTCAATCTAGGATTGTATACCTATAGACTGTGTATGAGAATTGTCCTAACCATACAGGCATCAGCATAAAGGATTAAAGCAAAAACTAAAATGGCTCCTAATGTTTGGAAAGGATCTAAGTTCCTCTCACTCTACGGCTCTTCAAGAATTCGTGCATTATAAGTCTGACGTCGTGCGGCGAGATGTCAATCCCGTTGGTGCGGTGATTTGGGAATGTAGCAGTCCATCGATATATGGTGTCAGCTTTCGGACGAATCATCATCGTACCATGCACTATAAGCCTAACGGACTATATCCTGACAAGCTTTCTCTAATTCAGAGGTCTCAAAAATAATCGGAGCACATTTTACGATCAAAAATGAGATAATAAATGCATAACTAGCGAGACAATGTTTTGTTGCGACACATTGTACGAGTACATCGAGATGCCGTTAAAAATGTTTAATAATATTTATTTAAAAGAACAATGAAGCGTTTTCTATTGGCTGATGATTGTACAATATGAAACATACAAAATATAACTCCTTTTTCTTTGTATACAAAGTTTTTAATTTCTGTTTTAAGGTGCGCTTACACGGGCAATTTTTTGAGTAATTATTGCTAGGCAACACATATGGATCAATGTAGAGCAATTAATGGAGCAATCTGTAACAATTTCAATAAAATGCGGAAATTGTTTTAACATTGTTTGTTAATTGTTCTGTCTAACATATCAGAAACTTCGTTAAATATATTCTCAAATCGCTGTCGTCTGTCTTTACTACAGACTAAAATGATGACGTAATCGTCATCTTTCGTGATTTCGACTATAGAGGCGCAGGTAAAGATAAAGCTGATTCAAGACTAGAAACGGAAATACAGTCAGAGGTTTTTGTTGCTTTCGACTTAATACAACAGACGCTCGCTAACGTAAACACGGGATAATGAAAACTTGCGCTAATGTAAACACAAACTTCGTTCTATAGGATCAAACGGAACGCGCGATAACGTAAACAATGTGTACGCTCGATAACGTAAACAACTCTCGGTGCACGGAAACAGCGCGACGGTAAAATGCTGAAGCCTCGATGATTTATGTCGGGTGTCGGGGAGTCCCCGATTTATGATGTAGAGTGTAGGGGATTCACATCTGTCTGCGATAAAATACGACAAACTCGGTCAGTCGTATGATCGTTTAGGATACGTTTATACGTACGTATGTATTTTATTTTTGAACTTAAGTGAATACATTGCACGCGTTAATATATTTTACGACTAAGGCATCCACATCCTATAAAAGAAAGTGTTTAAAGTTGAGTGAGAAAGTGAAAATCATAGACGAAGTTGCACTAGGTGCGGGAGTGACACAGTTAGCAAAAAATATGGAGTATCGAAAGCAACAATCTGTAAAATTAAGCGTATGAAAACTCAAATTTTACAAAGAACGTTGGAGGTCCGGGAAAAAGAAAAACTTTAAAAAATGCGAAGGCACCTAAAATGGAAAATTCCCCGTATGAGTGGTTTTTAAAACAACGGGAAAATCATGTCCCAGTTAGTGGCGAAGTACAGAGAGCGAGACTGTTAAATGAACAACTGAAAGAAACTGAAAATTTCGTAGCTAGTGATGGCTGGCTACAACGATTCAAAACAAGATATGGAATTCGACTGCTGTCTATATCTGGTGAAAAATTATCAGCACAACCACAATTAGTGCAACCATTCAAAGAAGAATTGATGAAAACAATTACCGAGCTAGATTTAAGAATGGAACAAATTTACAACGCAGATGAAAGTGGCCTTTATTGGAAAACGTTACCAGAGAAAACCTATGCTGCATCATTTGAAAAATCTGCCCCGGGAAGAAAGCCGGAGAAACAACGAATAACGTTTCTAGCATGCACTAATGCTAATGGTTCACACAAAATAAAGCCACTGGTAATTGGGAAAGCAAAAAATCCGCGCTCATTTAAAAATGTTAATATCCCTGTTGATTATGACTGTTCAAAAACCGCTTGGATGACTAACAGTATATTCCTGAAATGGTTCCACAGGTGCTTTGTCCCTCAGGTATGACAATCAATTATCACAAATGCTCTATTCATAATTTGAAGATGTGCTTTCAATTTGTAGGTAAAAGGTTTCCTAAAACAACAGGAGCTTCCAATAAAAGCGTTGTTACTATTGGATAATGCACCAAGTCATCCTCCCGAGCAACAACTGAGGAGCAGGGATGGGTCAATTTTCGTCATGTACATGCCGCCCAACGTAACACCGTTAATTCAACCGATGGACCAGAATAGAATAAGACTCACCAAACTATACTATAGGAAGTTTCTACTTTTGTCTGTCTTATCAAAGAATCCTGAAAACTTATCTGAGGCTTTAAAAAAAGTAACATTACGAGAAGCTGTTTTAGATTTACATATGGCCTGGAATGAACTTAACCAGCAAACTATTCAAAAATGTTGGAACAATCTCTTTTGTACCAATAATGAAGATGATGAAGAAGACGATTTCCCCTTAAGCGTAATTAGAGAACGTTTGCGATCCAATAGTGATAATGTTATTACTGTGTCATTGGATGTTGTTGATTTATTGAAAACAGTGAATCCCAACATTGTTTGTACTCCTGCTGATATTAATTTATGGAACGAAGATAAGCAGACGAATGATGCTGATAAGGAGGAGGATATGGACAGTGAGGATGATGAGAACGATCCCATTGAAGTCACAAGTGTAGTGACTGACGCGCAAGCTATACAAGTTTTTAACCAAGCTTTAGATTGGGCTGAAAGAAAAGAAGTTTCATACACGGATATTTTAGTTCTTCGTAAATTACGGGCGCAGGCATTGGAAGACAATGCTAAGCGCAAATTTACGCAGACAAAAATTGTTAATTGTTTTGCTTCTAATTAAAAAAATACTTATCGCTGTTAGAATATTTGTTTATTTTGTTATAAATAGTATGTATTAAACGTTTCTTTTAATAAATCAAATATTATATAAATCACGTTCGCTAATGTAAACATTTCGATAATGTGAACCACACTTGGATTAAATTAGTTTACATTATCGAGCGTCTGCTGTATAATAAAAACACACTGACACTTTGTCCATAGCGATAGATGGGTTTTCAACTAAATTGGTCGTGTATGAATGTATTGGCTAATTCCTTGAAGTTGCTCCATATCGTTCAATAATGTTGTTGCAGAACATTTTTGGCAAATTGATGGTTGTTACCGTTGCCGAAACTTGCTCGATATTTTGTTCACGCACAATGCTCCCATATTGAGCAATTTATTGCCCGTGTAAATGCACTTTAAGATCCGAATTCTGTCGTTCATTAGGAAAGCAGCGAGAAGTTCTATGTATTTTTTTGTGCTATCTTGGCAATAAAAACCATTCACTGTTATTTAATTTTAAATTGAATTAAAATTAGAGAGAAAGAGAGAGACAGTTAGCCCGGGATATAATAGTTTTTTTGATGAGTGACTGGTACCCTAACATATTTTGTGCCGTAAAATGTACTCATGTTAACGAGGCTCTCTTCGAGGTATTCTATGAAGGCACTATTACCAATATTGCAAGTGTTTCTTGTGAATATGGACAAAGAAAGTGTGAGAAAGGAGAAGAATTATGCATGGTGATAAGATTGAATTTAAGATGATCCAATGACAAAAACGTGATAAAGGTTTGGTTGCGAGCTTTCTCAGGTTTTTGCATCATTAACCCGAGGATGAAAACTGCGTCCGATTTACGATATATGTCGATATTTTTTTCATTCTTAGGACAGCGAGCGGCCTCGGACAGTTTGGGAAGCTATTATTGTGTATAAGTGATTACAAGCCTTGACATTCCAATGTTTAAAAAGTTTCGCGAGCGCTGGAAAAGTGAGGATCCTACTATCGAAAATTAATAGAACTTTAGATAACATTCCTTAGCGGAGATACAATAAAAAAAAATTGGGTGGATGGTGAGAGCAATCTATTCATTAAAAATAGCGTTACCAAGTTCCTAGGTAAAACTTTCTAATAAGGATAAGGCAGCTCTGTTGGAAAGCTGACAACATGAAACCGTGGTTGCGGTAAAAGCGCCTAACCAGGATTTATGCTTTTTAAAGGCAATGAAGGCTTACGAAAGAATTGACAAAATCAATTCAAACAAAAATTTGTTTGCCAGCACAGGCTGGGACACCCTGCAGGATAGGATAGAAATATCTTTTCTATGGGCTAAGGATCTGGAAGAAAGGTAGACGTAGACATACACTCTGCGATTCTTTATGTAAGTTTGTTTAACGTAAATCAAACACAGTTTCTACTAGGAAAATTATACTAGTGATATCTCTGGAACATGATATGAAATGGACGCGCATTTTCATGCTAGCTAAACAGGTAAAAAAGGAAGTGATTCATATAGTTCCAGTAGTGTTTTACGGTTTTTCAAAGCCATTAGTACCAATTGTACATACCACCCTCCTTTTCCTCTGTAATCGCAAGACAAAATATTTATATATTGAAGAGAAGCAACGCATAAAGCAATCACTTGTAAGTTTAGTGAGAACAAAATTATTCACTTACCTCCATTTTTGGTGGCCTTGGTCGCTTGAATGATGAGTGCATCGATATGTCCTCCTCTAATATCGGGTCCGTCTTCGTCCGTTTTTTTCAATAACAAATACTCGTCGACGTTGAGCATCTCCATCAAATCTTCGCAAGGACTAGCTTTGTTTGAATTCTGCAATAATTCGGTCATGGTTACATATTCGTTTTTTGTATTTAATATTAATAAAAACATAGCGACAATATTTTTAGAGCAGTGTCTTGATGAATGAGTTTTTTAAACGAAGGCCTTATATTTTTACCGATACACCCTGTGTAAATTATGTCACTGAGCGAACCGATGCTACAGTTTTAAAAGTATAATTGATTTGAATTTTTGTTAGGAATTGTGAAATAAATGCTTCGATAGTCCGAGTAATGCTTACGGGGTGTTAAGTAATAATAATTAAATCAATAAAAGAAGTCCACTTTGAAAAACAAATTATTTATTTACGAATATTTTTGTTTTATTCTTCGGCTATGTGTTCCCTTCACTGTTACTTTAAAATCAATTTCAGCAACAATCTCGCCGACTTAGTACGTGAATATTTCTCTCCTAATTGTTATTCGTTGCTATTGTCAATAATTGTTTCCAGCTCCAGACGATGAAGACATAGATCTTCGAAAGCTTGAGAGAAGTTATAATACTTTGTCTTCTACCCAAAGAAATTAAAGGATATATATATATATATATATATATATCCTGCTGATCTGCTTGATACTGTTATTCCGACACTACCCTATAATCTCTTCTTCATAAAAAAATACGTAGATGACATTATTTTATGCCTCCCCTCCATAGGTCTGGATGGTATTGTCAGAGCATTCAACAGCTATGACCCCTACATCCAATTTACCATTGAAAAAGAAGATGAGAACCTGTCTGTCCCCTTTCTAGACACAAGACTCATCCGCACCAACAACAACAGTTTATTGGTAGACTTTTACCAGAAACCTATGGCCTCAGGTCGGTTTCTCAATTTTAGGTCATACCATAAGCTAGGGATTAAAATCAATTTGGTAAAACAGATGAAAACAAGGGTAATCAGCATCTCAGATAATACTTTCCACACCTCAAATTTACGTAAACTATCAAAACTGTTCATCAATAATGGTTATCCGAAGTGTCTGATTAACAAGATCTTATTTAGTTCACCTTCCAATATTTTGCCGAACTCTGGGGATGCAGGTAATAGTCGCACAACCCCTAATAACGGAACTGATGTAATTCCCAATAATAGCATCAATCCAAACAGTACAAGCACTAACCCGGACTCCAGACCTGGTTTTGCTGTCCTGCCCTACATCAAAGAACTGACCCCTAAGCTGATCAGATTGTGCAGTCCTTTGAACTTTCGAATTGCTTGCAAATCCGTCCTCACTATAAACAGCATTTTTTCAAAAATGAAAGACAAAGTCCCGCTGCTTGGCTTAACCAACACAGTCTACTCCATCAATTGCAACAACTGCAACCAAATATACATAGGTCAGACCTCCAGATCTCTTAAAGGAAGGATTACATCACACAAAAGTGATGCTAGGCTTCATGCTGAAAGATGCGCTCTAGCATCTCATGTTAACACAACAGGGCATTCTATGAATTACACAAGTATCAAAGTTCTTGATAAAGAAAAACACCTTTCCAAACGTTTATTCCTGGAAATGTCCCACATTTTCATGAATAACAACTGTATCAACAAAAAGACAGATGTTAAACAACTGAGTGTCATTTACTCATATTTGCTAAACTGCGAAAAATTGGAGAACTTGCATATCTCCCCAAATTTCGACTCTTCACAACCATAAATAGAATCTGTGTTTTGGCCGATTCCACCAGTAAATTTCATTCCATTCAAAATCTAATAATTCTCTTCTCACGATTTATTAATAATTATTAATTTAAATTCCCATTAATTAAAATATAGTTTATTCAACTGCCTCTGGTCGGTCTAACAATTTCTTACATAACATTCTGAAAATCACATCATCTGAAGTGATTTGGCAACGTTTGGCACACGCCCACAATTCGTTCCATCTTCCAACACAGACATTGACAACCTTCGGCCTTCTGTCAAAGGGTTCATCTCACTCATTATTCCATGACCACCATTTTGTGCAATCATCAAGTGGCTTCACGGTGTAATGCTCTAATGTTTTTAAATAATTTTTAATCTGTTTTTAACTTGTTCTTGTCATATTTTATATAATTTTGACCATTGTACCATCTATCCAGCTCTCACCATGTTACTGGACGTTTCCCTCATCCTATACGTAAACAAAAATCCTCACATACTACTGTAAGTTGAGTCAATTTAAATTCATTTTACACTTTTGTTGCTACTGTTATCATTGTAATTGCAGCTCCTGATGATGATGGCAAAGTCCATTGAAAGCTAGAGAGAATTAAAAAAAGTATAAAGAGTCCTCTCTGCTTAAATCTTGTCGAAGTACCCAACAAAAGGCGGAAGCTTTAATTTTTCACCTAACTGGTCTAGACGACAATGACCACGTCTCAAGTTATATATATATATATATCCTAATATATTGAGACGTGGTCATTGTCGCTTAGACCAGTTAGGTGAAAATAAAGCTTCCGCCTTTTGTTGGGTACTTCGACAAAATTCAAGCAAAAAGGACTCTTTATACTTTATTAAGCTCTAGCTCTCAATGGACTTTGCCATCTTCATCAGGAGCTGCAATATATATATATATATATATATATATATATATATATAGCACATAAACATTTGGACCTGATAAATAGTAATATTAAAAAAAATTGGTTAAATTTTATACGGGTAAGCTCAAATTAAAAGCTAATAAAACAAAACGTCTATGTCAGTAGGGAAATATTTGGGTGATAATACAATTATTTTATTATTCATGGTTAATGATGAAAATTTGAAGTAGTCGAATCATTCAAATATCTGGGTATATATGTGAATAGTAAACTACTGTTTCACGAGCATAATTTCTAAAATATCAAAAAAGAAATAACTTCTACAGAGATTCCCATAATCTCAATATGTATTCCAAAAAAGTTGTTTATTACATCACAATTCTTTTCCATTTTTCATATTGTTCAACCATCTTGTTTGCAGCAAAAGAAAACATATTGTCATGAGGGTAATTTTAAATAAATCATTTGCTAGGATTAAGTCTATGTTATAAGAACTACAGTGGTTGAAAAAAAATCATATGTTATTTATTTGTAATTTTCATATTTAATTTAAAAATTCATTTATTACCACCTGATTTAAAAAACTTTACAAAATTAAATAGTCATAATCATAACTGCGACACTAGAGGCAGTGTAGACTTTATCTGCATTTCAAAAGGGAGTATTTGATTTTAATAATTTGAATAATGATATTAAAGTGTTTGAATTTAAAAATTTTGTAGGAGAAATTGAAAAATCACTTTATGAATACTGAAAATGCATTGTGATGTAATTTTAATAGACAAGAATGTAAAATTACAGAAAATGTATTAAAGGAAAATGTGTAAATGAATAATTATATAAAATTGAAATTGTAGCATTAATGCTAAATAAATCTTCAACAAACAAAAAGTATTCGCGATTACCATATTTCTTCGCACATTGACATAAAACGATTACCTGTTCGTCATTCTTAGTAGTGTGCTCTAGCAGATCAGGCAACGACTTGACAACCGGTGACGAAGGTTTGGATTCCCCATCCCCAAGTACAGACGGCGGTGGCCTGGGTACCGGGGGCGGTACAGCAGCTGGGGGCGGCGAACGTGCGGATGGTCTGCGCGGTCGCTGTTTAGGCGGTAGCGCGGGCGGGGGGCCATCGGAACTGCCCCCGGTTGAGGTTGTCGATAGGGGGGATGGTGGTAGTACGGGTGACGGGGATCTAAAAGTTGAGTTTGCACTTAGATAGATATAAATTTTAATCACCAAGACTTATACGCAAAGAAACTTAAACAGGTACTCAGTTTGTATGGACGATAGCGAAAAGTCTATGATCATACCGGAATTAGAAATCAATCAAGAACAATTTTAGATTTGGTAAATAACGAATAAAATGTAGTTGCAAAAGTTACGCGTTCTACTAAAATCACTGATCATTCATGGATACGTTTTGAAGTTGAAAGTATATTTGATGTTAACGAAGTGGAAGAAATTATTAATATTAACTATACTATAAGCTTTTTTACTGCAAGATATGACTGAAATGTTTGTTGATGTTGATAGCTACTATGCAAGTCTGCTGCAATCAATACAACGATTCATAAAGGGAACAATCCAACACCTTGATTCCCACAGACGTTTCAAGGATTCTAAATTAAAAAGAGATTACAATTATAAAAAGTTTATGATTCCTGGAGGTGAAAATGATTGGCTAGAATACACAAGGTCAAGAAAACAATATGTAGCAGTTCTACGAGATGAAAAGAAAAATGTATAACAATAACAAAATTGATGACAGTAAAAATAATAGCAAAGTCACGTGGAAAACGTTGTGTATCCTATTAAAATAGTCATTTATTTTAACAGTGAGTAGATCTGATCAAAAGAAATGTTTTTTTCCTTTACCATTTTTCTGGTAAAATTAAAGTAACAAAGTTATAGCCCTTTGGAAGTTTGAGTACCGCCCTGTCTCAATAATAATATTATGTGCTCGTGTTTGGCGACAACGGATATAATCCGCCTTATCGGTTCGTCGCATCGGAAACAAAAAAGCGAAAGAATTTGGAACGATGTTTTTACAATTATTTCATTCAGTTGTATACAGTCAGTGTCAGTCGGTAGTGAATAGTGGTGTCTGTTGCGTGGCTCAAACGAAATAAAAAATGGCACATGTTTATGCGGATCGGTTTCCCAATCGAGTGCAACCAACCCCTCGTGCCTTTGTTAATGTAGTACAACGGGTTCGTGAATCATTTGACTTAAGACCTCACATATGGACGGCATGCCGGTGCTCCAAGACCTCACGATCAAATACAGGTCCGCACTGAAATACTTGTCGGGAGGATACTTTATAAAATAAGGTAAAATTATTTTTTTATTTTTACACACATATTTTGGTTTATCTTCCTTCTACAATCATTATCTGAAAATTAAAATGACTCAACTTCAAAGTCACCCTGTATAAACATTATCTAAAATGCAGTTCAACGATGGGGTAATGACAAATGAAAAAATAATAGCAGATCGCATGAATAGCTATTTCATAGAAAGTGTCAACAACATTGTAAGATCAATTATTGACCGGGATCCCAACCAATGTCCCATTGGATAAGATTATAATGCATCATTCAGTAAGTTTAGAATAATAAACATTAATCGTCTCAAAAAGATTATATCAAAATTGAAAACAAATCAAAAAAATTTGTGTGCGATTTTTTCTAAAATGATGCTTAATGAATATTTTGATATTATTGGCGCAAGAATATTAATCCTGATAAATGAATGCTTAAAATATGGCGAATTCCCAACAAAACTGAAGTGTTTTACCATAACTCTTGTTGAGTTAAGAATTCTGAGTTGTACATCAATATGCGTCCAATAAATGTTCTGAGAAAGTTTTTGAAGAAATGATTATTTACGAACAGATCATCGAATTTGTCGAGGGAATTAAAATTTTAACGAAGTTTCAAGTTGGATTCAGGAAGAGACACTCATTTGAAACGGCAAACCAAATGGTTTTAGAAGACTGGAGGAGATGTATGGACAATAGGAAACATACAGTGACAGTGCTTTTGGACTTCAAAAGGCCATTTGAAACTATTAACAGAGACTTACAAAATTGTATCACTATAAATTTAAAGGATCTGTATCCAAAATACTACAGAACTACTTGACAGACGTCAAAAATGCAAAACTGGATCTTCATTATCAAGCTCAGAAAATATTTCTGTTGGTGTACCACAAGGTAGTAAACTAGGTCCACTGCTGTTTATTTTATACATTAATGACATTTGTCATATTTTAGATTACCAGATGAAAATATAAACTCCGCTATAAAAATGCTAAATTCTGACTTAGCAAAAATCATAAATTGGTTGAATGTAAATAAACTAAAATTGAATGCTTCCAAAGCAAAGTGTATGCTAATAGGGAACTGCCTAAATGGAGATACTGTCACAATTAGGATAAATTGTGAAATAATTGAAAATGTTGAATCAATTAAATATTTAGGTTTATATATTGATAGTAGATTAAAGTTTGAGGATCACTACGAATACATTATTTCAAAAATTTCTAGAAAAAAATTCTTACTTTTATAGGGATTCTCATAGTCCTAGTACATATTCCAAAAAATAGTGTATAATACAATTATTATTCTGCCGCATTTACAATATTGTTCACTGCCAATCAAGCTGTATAATCAAAATTACAAGCACTGCTTGATTTCATATCATATTTGGTTCTCATTTTTATATTTAAAATAAAAAATCATCTTTTGCCACACTTTATAGAATTAAATAATTATTACCACAATTGGGTGACTTCGAAGTTGAGTCATTTATTTTAACAGTGAGTAGATCTGATCAAAAGAAATGTTTTTTTCCTTTACCATTTTTCTGGTAAAATTAAAGTAACAAAGTTATAGCCCTTTGGAAGTTTGAGTACCGCCCTGTCTCAATAATAATATTATGTGCTCGTGTTTGGTTCATCGCATCGGAAACAAAAAAGCGAAAGAATTTGGAACGATGTTTTTACAATTATTTTAGTCAGTTGTATACAGTCAGTGTCAGTCGGTAACACGTTTGAATAGTGGTGTCTGTTGCGTGGCTCAAACGAAATAAAAAATGGCACATGTTTATGCGGATCGGTTTCCCAATCGAGTGCAACCAACCCCTCGTGCCTTTGTTAATGTAGTACAACGGGCTCGTGAATCAGGTGACTTAGACCATACAGGGGACTGCATGCCGGTGCTCCAAGACCTCACGATCAAATACAGGTCCGCACTGAAATACTTGTCGGGAGGATACTTTATAAAACAAGGTAAAAAAAATTTTTTAATTTTTTTTTATTTTTACACACATATTTTCGTTTATCTTCCTTCTACAATCATTATCTGAAAATTAATGACTCAACTTCAAAGTCACCCTGTATAAGATGGAATATAGATTTTCATTTACAAAAATGGAATGGTAATAAAACTAGCAAATCAATATTTCAGAAAGCATTGCTTGAAATTAATGAACTAAATAGTGATATAAAGTCTACTTGTAATTTAAAAATGTGTTAAAGAAGATTAAAGGAATATTTCATGAACAATGAAAATTCTTAGAGATGCTTTTGTTTTCCTAAATATCTGTATGTTATGTAATTGTTGTAGTTATTTAAAAGAATTTGATTGAAGCAATCATGCTAAATAAACCTTAAACAAACAAATACAATTTTGAAAGTAATGTCTGGAAAAAAATATTTAATTAACCGTCAGCATTTAGGTGTGCAGATGCTCGTCTAGGCTAAGACGTTGACAGTTTGCAGTGATTCTAGTTTGAATCTGTAGACTGGAGAAAAGGTATTTTGACCAAGTACATATTTAAAAAATACCAAAAAACCCGACTTCATAACTGAAACGAACAAAGACAAACTTAAGGACACCTCAAATGTCAAAATCCTTCAATCCATTTTTTGAAATTTAGTGAGGGTAAAAAATTGTGGGGGGACGCCATTTCTTTATAGTCAACGCCAAACAAAGTGGCGTGCACGTCATCAAGGTGGGTGTGTTGAAAAATTTACATTGTTGCCAAACTTTTTGTAAAATAATAAAATTTATTATTTACATATCTAGGTTTATAAGCAATATTAACCTCAAATGAGAACAAAAATAATAGTATAATAAAATTATAGATCTGTACTTGCATAATCATTAAGTATGACAATTATTGATCAGATGACACTATGAAACTACCATATTTAATTGATAGCTTAAAGGTACTGAATAAAAATCCAAATGGGGTCCTCCAAATTTTATGCATGGTATTTATTTTACAGAATTCATACAGAAAAATGCATTCTAAAATTAGGTAAGCTACTGGTGTAAGCTTTTTCTGTACAATAAAGGTAGTCGGAGTTTCTTTCTTCAGCGCTGTCTGAATCTGAATCTTCATCACTCTCAAAGTTGATTATTAAAGGTTCGATGTCTGGTCGATCAAAAATTCGTTCTCTTTCATACCATTTAAAAATTTCTTGCTCAGTATGTCGAACACTATTTTTCCACATGTCTGGGGTAACCGTTTGTAGAGCCTCGTTCCACATATCCAAACAGTCTTCTTCACTGTTACCATCTCTACCAATATGTCTGTTATAGTAACCTTTTGCTATGCCCCAAATTAACTCAATAGGGTTAAATATACAATGGTAAGGAGGCAGACGAAGAACTTTGTGCCCATGTTGTTCCGCCAATTCATCAATCACGTATATTTTAGGTGGTTTGTTTCTAAAAAAGCAGTTATTTTAAGAATAGGAATAAACAAAAGAAATATAAACTGTCGACCAAAATATATATAATTAAGAAGCATTATGTACCGAGCAACAATACTCAATAGCTCTGTTTTAAACATTGTGTTTAAAAATGGTATGTTTTGATTTGTCAACCAGTCTTGGATATTTTTTTTTGTCCATGCATTGTTGGGCACTTTGTTCAATATCATGCTGTGATAAAGGGCGTTATCCAGTATAATCATAGATGGACTCTCCAATTTTTCTAATAACTGATGTTGAAACCATTTCAAAAAATTGTCCTGGTTCATCTCTCCATGGTAATCGCTCAATTTTGTTTTCGAAGAAAATATCGCTTCACTACCCTCAATAAACCCATTTTCATTTCCAGCATGTAATATAATGTATCTAAAATATATTAGTTTTAAATTTTATAGTGCAAATTGTGTAAAAGTACATACCTTTTACCATCTGTTTTAATAGCTTTCACGCTTTTTTTGGTTTCCATTTTGCCAAGAGCGACCTATGGTCCCATTTTGAAATATCCAAGTTTCATCGAGGAAGACAAACTGGTATAAGGCCTCAACCTTGACTTGATTGTATTGCCTTAGAAATTCCACCCTTTTCAAAGCTATACGATTGTCCTTAAGCCACTTAAATCCAAGATCTCTAAGCAACCGCCTTAAAGACGTGGCACTACCATCAAATAATGCCCTATCTCTTAATCGAGACCATAAAGTTTGTATCGTAACTTGTTCTTCTGAAACCATGTGTAATATGACATTATAATTTAGTTAACAAATTAATGCAAATTTCTGATAAGTTATTATAATAAGATCTTACTTTTGTGATACATATTATAGATCACTTCTCGAATGGCACTTGTATCCAATGTCGTTGTGTTGGTTACACGTTTAATATAACTCCGCTTTTTCTTGGGCGATTCTAAATTTGCATCACTTTTCACACCCTCGGAAATACGACTAACTGTCCTTAAACTAATTTTTAAAGCAGCAGCAACACGCTACAAAAAATGAAATAAAATTTCACTATTATTAATATACATTACATATAATTATTAGTAACCTACCTCTTGAACAGCATTTAAAGGCAACAAAGGCCCGTTGTTGTCCCTTTCTTGCTCAAAGTAGTGCATTAACGAGGCCACGAGTTCCTTACACCGACTATTTAACTGTTTGGGCATCTTTATATACCAAAATTGCCTTTATCTATAAAATGAATAATTTTGTTTTGAAACAAACAGTTGTTGATTTACAGTATGCGGGGCCAAAGGATTTATAAAGATTTGAAATGCCACAAATTGATTCAGTGTCAAAATTAATACAAATGTCAGTTCCCAGTTTAAATAAGTTTCAAGGTGACAATGTGTCAACGCTGCGAAATCGGTTTAGTGCGTTTACATGTCGATAAGTGATTGGAGCGTTTGCAAAACATTTTATTTCGCATAATGCGTCTAAATTTATCAGAAAGCAACTTATGTGATATTTTAATAACAATGTTTATATGACTATTAACCATAATAAGAGAGTAATGACCATTTTACAATTTATATATCACATTAATATGAAACTGCAATAGAGCAATTGTTTGTGATAGAAACCTAGGCATTAGGTCGGGGAATTTTTATCGTGATGACGTGCACGCCACTTTGTTTGGCGTTGACTATATTTCGTTTTATTTCCGTGAAACTTAAAGTTTAGCTAGCAACTCACCTATCATCAGACCTGGGCGGCACTCCCAGAACCGCATGCCCATGCAACCTGGTAGCAGACGAATGACTGCTACTAGAATAGTTTGACAGATGCGAAGAATGGCTGAAGGAGCACGACTGCGTTGACGACATACCTCCGGCGGTTATGGTCTGCGTGAGGGGCGTGGAATACTGCGATTGCACCATATGCACCGAATGCCTCATGAACTCCTGATCGTTCGTGTGCGTGCAGTTGCCGAACATCTCCATGTAGGCCATTACTATAGAGATAATATACTGTAGTGTACTTGGTAACGAAATAGCTTACTTTTTAAAGATCTAGCATATGGTAACCCAGAGATTTTTGCAGACACAAGGAATTTTTAATTTGAAAAAACGAATTTACCGTTGGAAACGTTGAACTTTGAGCTATTTTTCTACATAGTCGCCATTTTTTCTACGCATTTTTTTAGACGTGAAGAAAGATCGGGGCTACGTGGTGGCTATTCAATATCCCCCCTTTTCGAAATGAGTTTTCCGGGAAAGACATTTTTCAGCAGCTCTATAGATACCCTAGCTGTATGACATGTGGCTCCATCTTGTTGAAACCACATTTTAGAGGAGTTCTTGCAAAGCTGGCACCAAAAAGTCTGTTATCATATTGCAATAGTTGTTAGCTTTAACTGTCATCGCTTGCCCTCTTTCGTCCTAAAAAAATAATGCCAGTCTACACGACTAGTTTAGGGATGTGAAGTGGACGTTCATGCAAGCGTCGGGAATCAGTTTCGGACTAGAACCGACAATTTTGTTTGTTAACATGGCCATTGAGGTGAAAATTGGCCTCATCACTAAACATGACGTTGTTAAAACTGTTGAATCAGTCGGGCATCAAATTGACAAAGTTAAATCGGTTATTGGCATCGTCTGGTTTTAATTCTTGGACTAGTTGAATCTTATAAGCCTTCAAATGCAAATCACGCAGTAAAAACCGATTTTTTGTTTGCATAATACGTTCGGACCCGTGTACGGTTCCATGGCGACTAAATTTAAGATTTAAATCACTCTTATGGCCCACCCTGTATAAAAGGTATTTTTTTCACCCAAGCAATGAATGAATCGAATAAAATGTATAAAATTTGATAAGAAAAAAGTTGCTATCAGTTTGCTGAAACATTGTACATTTGGCAACATCGCGGATATCAGACACGGATCCGTCGTAGTTTCTAACCTAAACCTACCAATTTTAAAAAAAATTCATGAGATATTGGATGCCTTACAAACTTTTCTTACATTCTGTATATTAGAAATTAGAATTGTTGAACAAATCGAAAGTAGGAATTAGTTAAAACATTATTTGAAAAGTATGCATGCGTAAATCATTTCTGCGGAAAAGATGTATTGAAGTTCCGACACGAAATGCGGTCGGGTAAAGAAATTTTAAAATTTGACATGTGAATGCATTGTTGTGTCAATTTCATCTCAATGCAGTAAGTCTATTACTAAAAAAAAAAAATTCACATGTCCGATTTTAAAATTTCATTATAATAAGCAAATTAATGTTTGAATAAAAAACAAATAGAGTGAAATTAATTATTAAAAATAGAATGTTACTACTTTAGAGATATCTGAAATAATCTGCGCGATATTTTTTTTAAAGATGGACACAAAAATTGATGTAACAACGAAGCGCTACCGCAACGATCACTTTGAGCGCTTTTCAGGAGCGTTCTGTCAACTTTCGGATAGAAAATTTAAAAAATGTTTGGCGAACGCAAGCTTTATTACGATTGAAAATTGAAAATATATCAGTAGGGGTGTCACAAGGGAGTAAATTCGGGCCGTTACTATTTATTTTATATAATAATATCAGACATTTTAGAATATTGCAAAATTAAAATATTTGCGGACGATACACTTATATATAGCACATAAGCATTTGGATACTGCTTTAGAACTGTTAAATAGTGATATTGAAAAAAATATGAATTGGTTAAATGTCAATAAACTTAAACACTAATAAAACAAAATGTATGTTAATAGGGAAACATTTCGGTGACAATACAATTAGGCTCATGATTAATGATGAAAAAATTGAAGTAGTCGAGTCATTTAAATATCTTGGTATACAGGGTGTCCCAGAAGTCGACGTCAAGCCGAAACCGGGTGATAGGCAAAGTCATAACAGCTATCAGAAAAATATTTAAAAAAATTTTATGTATGTGTTTTGAAAATTATAGGTCTTTGAAAAAAATATAGAAATTTCACACCCTACGGCAGTCTGTCAACTCCTGTTACTACAAATATTAACTTTTTTGGATTTTATTTATACAATGTAATGATGAATAATGCATCTTCAAACTGGTGTCTCAACCTTACTGCCAACTTTTCTCGTTCATGAAAAATTGCCACTTATTTCCCAACCAAGTATTCCAAAGTAAAACTTTGCTCAACTTTAACTGGCTGTACTGGAAAAAAATGTACTACGAGAGTTTGGCAAGTAACCTTAAAAGTTGGCGCATTTAATAAGGATTCCAAAATGGTATAACACTTAGAAGATTACTCGTTAACTTGTGCACAATTTTTATTTGAAGAAAAACTGATGAAAATTTTTCAAAATTTCCTAATTAAACAGCGATTATGGTGCACGTGCCACTGAGTATTTACAGGGACATGTGGTTTCAGCATAATGGCTGCCCAGCGCACTATGCACTCTCAGTGAGAGAGAATCTCGATCAAAACTTTCCAGGCAGATGGATAAGGCGGTCTGGTACAATACCGTGGCCAGCCCGATCACCTGATTTGAATCCTTTAGATTTTTTTACTGGGGAACTGTAAAAGAAAAAGTGTATTTCAAGCCGATTCAAAATGTAGCTGAGCTACGGCAAAGACTATTGGAAGCAGCTGAGTTTGTTAATAACCGTGGATTCGCTCGTTTAATAACCCGATCTTTTTTAATGATGTCGAGCGTGTATTGCGGCTGAAGGAAAACAGTTTGAGCATTTGCTGTAAAGGTAAATCATCATCAGCAGCATTTTGACGCCCACTGTTGTGCAAACAGTTATCCTTAAGGGTTCTTGTGCGTTTTCATAATCGCTGTTTAATTAGGAAATTTTGAAAAATTTTCATCAGTTTTTTTTCAAATAAAAATTGTGCATAAGTTAACGGGTAATCTTCTAAGTGTTATACCATTTTAGAATCGTTACTAAATGCGCCAACTTTTAAGGTTACTTGCCAAACTCTCGTACATTTTTTCCAGTACAGCCAGTTAAAGTTGAGCAAAGTTTTACTTTGGAATACTTGGTTGGAAAATAAGTGGCAATTTTTCCTGAACGAGAAAAGTTGGCAGTAAGGTTGAGACACCAGTTTGAAGATGCATTATTCATCATTACATTGTAAAAATAAAATCCAAAAAAAAGTTAATATTTGTAGTAACAGGAGTTGACAGACTGCCGTAGGGTGCGAAATTTCTATATCTTTTTCAAAGACCTATAATTTTCAAAACACATACATAAAATTTTTTTAAATATTTTTCTGATAGCTGTTATGACTTTGCCTATCACCCGGTTTCGGCTTGACGTCGACTTCTGGGACACCCTGTATATGTGGATAGTAAACTACTGTTTCACGAGCATTATGAATTCATTATTTAAAAAATATCAAAAAGATATAGATATTCCCATAAACTGAGTATGTATTCCAAAAAAATTGTTTATTATATCACAATTCTTCCCCATTTTTCATATTGTTCAACAATCTTGTTTACGGCAAATGAAAACATATTTTCAAAATTACAAATTCTACAAAATAAAGCTATGAGAATCATTTTAAATAGAAACAAATATGCTAGGATTAAGTCTATGTTAGAAGAACTGCAGTGGTTGGATGTGAAAAATTTCATATTTTATTTAGTTCTCGTTTTCATATTCAAATTAAAAAATCATTTATTACCACCACATTTAGAGAACCTCACAAAATTAGATAGTCATTATCATAATTACGAAACTAGAGGCAGTATAGATTTTCATCTGCAAAATTTTAATAGTAGTATAACTAGTAAATCTATATTTCAAAAGGGACTATTTGAATTTAATAAATTGAATAATCAGTTCGAATTTAAAAATGTTTAAGGTAAAATTAAAAAATCACTTTATGAATAATCAAAATAGTGACGTAATTTTAATTTTAATAGACAAGAATGTAAAATTACAGGATTGAAGAAAAATATGTAACCGAATCATTATACAAAATTGACATTGTAGCATTAATGCTAAATAAATCTTCAACCAACAAACAAAAAGAATTTAAACGATATGTCGCCATTTTTTAGCACGAAATTAACCTCTGGTAATTCAGAGGTTGTTTTATACTCGTAAGTTATTCGCTCCGTTTTATCATGAGGAACTGCTGAAGCTTCAGCCGCCCAGAGTCACTGTTCGTTTTGTATCCTTTTGTTATATCGAAATTAGAATATGCGTGGTTAATTTGGAACACAATTTACAAATGATTCTCTTGATAGTTCAGAGAAAGTCTTTAAAATTTTTATCTTTCAAAGTTGACGGTGCATATCCTGGGCATATCTGAAAGTTTGTTATTGCCTAGGTTTCAAATGGAGGCTTTAGATCTGAAAAGGAAGTTTGCGTCAATTACTTTCTTGCATAGACGGCTGCACAATCAAATTGATGCTAATAAAATTCAGGCTCAACTAAAATTTAATGTTCCATCTATTCAAACTCGTATTTTTGAAAGTACCCGGTGTGAAACTTTCAAGGCCATCTCTATTTATTGTGATATACATGCTGACAGTTTGAACAGCATTCTGGGAATAGCTAGGAATTACTTAAACAATTTATGATACGCTTCTCACTTGGTGAACATTTTTTTTGATTTTTCCTTTAGATGAAATCAGGTACTTTTTGTATGTTTTATATTTTTGTTAGTTTGATTTATCTTTCGTTAGGATTGACCTGTAAATGATTTCCTTAACTGTTGAGCAATAAACACTATTTATTTATTTCCTTCAATTTATCGTTTGAATTTCTCTATCATGATTTTCTATGTCTGCTTTATTTTAACAAGACATCTAAGTCTAATCATATTAGACGAAAATACCCCTGGTTTGCGAAATAATTGTAAAGTCTCGTTTTATTGCTGCAAGTTGTTCAAGGGTGTATTCAAAACATTTTTATTCGACAACAAGGAATGAGAAAACGTGTGTTTTGGGATTCAATCGAAAGTGTCGACAGGAACGAAAAAAACTCTTTATACAAGATTATTAGGTATTTGTGAGATGTTGTTTTCTCATCCTTTGTAGTCAGATAAAGAGATTTCCCACAAAAATTGGTGCACTTCTATGCGTCAATGTTTTAAATACCCCCTTGAACAACTTGCACCAATAAAACAAGACTTTACAATTATTTTGGGGAAAATTGCTAATATACTAAGCGACATATAAATCCGAACACCCAGTTTAAATGGTTTTATTTTAATAAAAGTTGGTGAATGTATTTATCTTACTGTAAATAACAAGTGAAAAAATGTTCAGCCTTATCAGTTGGACATTCCGGTTTTTATACTGCTTTTTTTTAATTCTCTAACGCTCTAAAAATGAATATTTCAGCCGCAGTAAAGAATCAACGTTGGCGGATTTTGGTTCTTGACATCCTTTACGATCGGTTACGATGCCTAGAGTACGGAGACCTGTACGATTTCGTCTACTTAGTGAGTTTGATAGGGGCCGTATAGTGGGACTTCGGGAAGCTGGACTTTCTTTTCGGGCAATTGCAGTTAGAGTGCAAAGAAGTATAGACACTGTGGTTAGGTGTTGTCAGGCATGGATTCGCAAAGAGCAAGGGGCACTGGACGCCGCCGTAGAACAACAGACCTTGAAGATCGCCGCCTAAGATTATTGGCCTTAAGGGACCGTTTCTCCACTACCAGGTCCATTGCAAATGAATGGTTTGCAGAACACGGAAGACCTATTGGCATGCGAAGTGTTTACCGACGAATGAGAAGTTTTGGCTTGTTTTCATACCGGCCACACTGGGTCCTTCCTTTAACTCGAGAACACCGACGTAATCGCCTTGAGTGGTGCAGACAACGGTCACTCTGGGATGAGGAATGGAACAGTATTGTCTTTAGTGTCGAGTCTCGATTTTGTTTAGGCATGCACATGGTCGTGCCAGGGTTAGAAGGCGACGTGGTGAAAGGAGGAATCCACAGTTTTTTGTTGAAAGACTTGTTCATCACACTGTTGGAGTTATGGTTTGGGGTGCTATAGCTTATGGTTCCAGGTCACCTTTAATCTTCATCAGAGGTAACATGAACGCGCAGCGTTATATCCACGAAGTTCTAGAACTCCATCTTTTACCCTATCTTGACACCCTGGCCGATCCAACTTTCCAACAAGATAATGCCCGACCACATGTTGCAAGAGTCACAATAGACTTCTTTCAACATAATGATGTCACATTGTTACCATGTCCACCAAGACCTCCCGACTTATCCCCAATTGGGCACGTGTGGGATATGATGGGTAGGAGATTGCTCAATTTGCAACGTCCTCCTCAGACTCTAGAAGCACTTCGAGAGGAGTTGGTGGTTGCCTGGAATGAGATACCACAGGAGGACATTGACCAGAAGCATGCCTAGGCGCGTTGGAGAATGCGTAGCACATCAGGGTGCATCCACACATTATTAAAGGTCAAAGGGCTTTAAAGCAGTGCAATCATTTTGAAATTTTTATCATTTACTCATTATGCTTCATAAAGTACTTATACAAAATTTTATTAAAATAAAACCATTTAAACTGGGTTTTCGGATTTATATGTCACTTAGTATACTAATCTTTTTTTTTCTAAATATCTGTATGTTATGTAATTGTTTAGTTTTTTAGAAGAATGTAATTGTAGCAATAATGCTAAATAAATTTTAAACAAACAAACGAATCCATACAACCGAGCAGAGCAAACACAAAACATTCAAGAGCGGAGCATATTTTGGTTACGATGAAAAAAACGTTGACCGCTCCGGTACCGTTCAGTGATCATGAAAGTTCAGATGAAAATAAAGTGTCGCTACAGCAACGCTACGTTGTGATAAATGGCACAAAGGTCTTTACATGCAGTGTTCTTCAGATAGATTCTCAGATTGGTTACGAGTACTGCTGGCGATACTCCCTTGAATTTGAAAATTCTAAGCATTTCTACATGCACACACAGCACTAGTAGCAGATTATTCCAGATAAGACGAAAGGCCATATTAAAAACAGGAAGTAAAAGTTACGGTGGATTCAAACATCTGCAAACGGGATCCACTTACCAGAGTATGCAACCGATTGGAACACTAGAGAAAAACTAAGATTAATCCAGATACTACACAACCTCCCAAAGCAAAGGGACGACAGTCCACCCTTAACTTCGTACTACGACACTTCAAGTAAATTAAACGATAAAAATAAATACTCACTGTGCTTCTTCTTAGGCGGTAACGGTGGCGGTTTGCTTCCGTCAGTCTCAATCATCGAACTAGAAATACTGGTACTATTGGAAACACTGTGATGCGAAGACTGGTGTTTCTCACACGTCACTAGAAGTTCACCACCTTTAATAGATTGATAAATATCCTGTATAAGAGTCCATCCTGCGTTTTGGGCACATTGTACGGGTACGAGGGAGGTCCGAAAAGTATTTAGCCTACGTTGTTTTGGAAAATTGGCGATTTATTTCTCAACATAGTCTCGTTGACCCGGCGATGCTGCAACTGAAAAATACGTTTCCTGGAGGTCTGCAAAGTAGGCGATAACCTCCTATTCGACTCAAAATTTTGCGAGAGTGAGAGTGACTTTTTCAACCATGGAAACAAAAAGAAGTCTAACGGGGCCAAATCTGGAGAATACGGTGGATGGGACAGCAAAATTCTTTGGTGACTGAAGACAAACTAAATGAACATTTTGCGGAGAGTATTGTTGCACCTGGCTATATGAAAATCAGTTTCCAGGGGGAAGTGTTGCATACACTTTCAAAATTTCATAGCGAATCATTGAATTATCTCAGAAAAAAAGTAAACAGTTTAAAATCAAATAACAACTGTGCCGAAATCACTATTAAAAACGTGCTGAAAAACTGTTTCGATATTTTGGGATAACCTGTATTAAATTGGATCAATTGTTCACTGAGAAGCAGTTCTTTTCATGAAAATTTGAAATGCTCTACAATAACACCAGTTCCCAAAATAAAAAATTCTAAAAGATGCAGCGATGTGAGACCAGTAGATGTGTTACCAGACATTGAAAAATTAGAGTCCATAGTGCATGACCAATTAATGCAGTTTATAGAAGAAAACAAAATTTTAGTGAAGGCGCAAGCAGGCTTTCGAAAAAAATATTCCACAGAAACGGCTTTCCAGTTGGTAACTGCAAATTTTAGAAGAGCCATAGACTCAGAAGAAGTTATCATAGCAGTATTTTCGGATTTAAAGAGGGCATTTGAAACGATTGATACAGATATTTTGTTAGGTAAATTGAAGGCATATGTCTAAAAGGATGCAACTTACAAAAGTTAATGACACCATTTCATCAAAAATTGAAAATACGTTGGGTGTTCCACAGGGCAGTATCCTGGGGCCGCTTCTTTTTATTTTATACATAAATGATTTACCTGCCATAGTCAACAAATGCAAAATTCAGATTTGCGCCGATGACACTATAATTTATATAACTACTAAAAATATTCAGACTGATATCTCTTATATAAATGAAGACTTGAAACTTGTCTCAAAATGGTTAGCATCTAACAGACTAAAATTAAATACAAGTAAAACGAAAGTTATGTTAATCGGAAAAAAACAATGTACAAATATTCAATTGATGGTGAAGATATTGAATTCGTAGAAAATTTTAAATACCTGGGGGCTTTTGTTGACTCTCGATTAATTTTTGATATTCATTATGAAAAAGTTATAAATAAGATTAGTAGTAAAGTGGGATATTTATCGAGAGTTTCTGGATGTCTGAGTTCATATAGCAGAAAAATTATCTATAATACCATCATTCTTCCAAATTTCTTGTAATGTTCGACTATTCTAAATTTTTATCAAATAATTCCATTTTTGGAAGTCTGCAAATTTTACAAAATAAGTGCATGAGAATAATACTGAATAAAGATAAATATACTCCAATTAAGCAAATGCTTAGCGAATTAAAATGGCTCAATGTCAATTTTTTTATCAAATATCTTGTAATGATATTCATTTATAAAGTAAAAAATAATATATTTCCATCAAGTCTAACTAATTTAACATCATCAAATTTCGACCATCATTTACATATGCTACAAATCTGTATTCCGTCAAGGGTTGATTGAATATAATAAATTATACACAGAGATAAAAGACCAGAAAACTTTGACAAAATTTAAAGTAAAATTGAGGAATCACTTGTTAACTGTACAATTATAGCTTGCCCAACATTTACACCATACATCATATGGCTTGAATTTACTAATTCTAAGTTGTTTGCTATTTTACACAAAAACTCCAAAATATTTATTCAAATGTTGCAATAAGCCAAAATACCCTGAGAAACCTTATTTGAAATGGCTTTCGGCAATGAGTATGATTATAAATGTTTTTAAAACGGTTGATATTTTGAATGACAGGTGTTTACTGAATTTGTTTTGAATGGCACGAACATATACAAACCTATTTTTTCATCAGGTACATTGTCATAAGGAGATAGCTGCCTGTCCGCCGTCTTTCTCTTAGTCTTTTGTGGAATAGCCGGTGGTACATCTTCATTGACGTCCGATTTACTCGCGCCGTTTGTACTGTTCGACACTACTGTCACGGAACTGCTGCTACTGGTCGATTCGCTGAAGTTCTTCAGCGTCAGGTGGTTCTCGAAACTCCTAGAAACGCATACACAAGACTGAATGATTCCGTCAAAAAATCCGCACTGTTTTTTGTGTTTCGCCATTACTGACAAACTTCCAAGCGACTTTAGTGTATCACAAATGGGATATTTCTGTACTAAGGTTGAGTCTAGTTAATACGTAACCGGTATATAAATAAGCAAGCAGACGCGGAAATAAAATCAGATGCGACACGGCCAGACCAGCTTATTATAAATTGAGTAACGTGCTATAGACCAGTGATTCCCAAAGTCAAAGGGCGCCGCGAAATATTCAATCAAACAATTCGACAATTTTCTTGGAATTTCAAATTCTCGTTTTTTCCATAAGAGCGCTGGATTTGATTTTCGAGAAAAACACAATTTCTTTTCGAATTAAGCGAGTATTCATATTTCAACATGAAGAGGAACAGTTGCGATTAAACATGAAAAAGAACATGCGGTAAATGGCGACGACGAAACCTCAGGCATAGTCTTCTGGATAACGTTTTCGCACAAATGTGGCTCTATTTCGTCGATAACGCACCGTATCTAAGAAAAAATTGACAGATGCAAAGGAGACAGCAAACAAATGTGTGTGTTGAAAGATCTCGTTAATAACAAACATGTACACATTGATTATATGTTTTTAGAAATTAATGGCTGTGACACTGTAGAGAATGAATTGAACAATTATTTTATGGGACTGTTCATAGAGAAAATAAAAAAACTAATAGATATTAATACCAATAAAGTAATAATTAGTCACAAAGAGAAAAGCAGAAATGCCTGGATTACCAAAGGATTAATAACATCGGCAATAGAAAAAGAAAGACTATATAATGTAATGAATCTAACGCCAACTACAGAGAATACCGACTGCTACAACCAATATAAAAATAAATTTATAGAGCTTGCAAGGCAAACCAAACGAAAACATTACCTAAATAAATTGAATAATAACTTAAATGATCCTAAGCGGCTTTGGACAACTATTGATGAGATTACTGGGAAAACAAAATTTAAAGAGTGTGCCACTGAGTTAAATACAACATCGGGAACAGTATTAAAAAATACTCAACAGATATGCGATGAATTTGTACAATTCTTTACTGACATAGGCGAAAATTTAGCAAGTACCTAATATACAAGCAAATGTACAAAATACTCAGCCTCCAAAAAGAACTTTGAACTCATTTATTTTGGATAAAGTCGAGCAATGTGAAGTATACACCACTGTTATGTCCTTAAAAAATCGGAAAAGTCCTGGGTTCGATGGTATTAAAAGCGAGCATTTGAAAATTATAGCCGAGGACATAACAGAACCACTCACTTACCTAATCAACAAATGCTTTGAATCTGGCATATATCCCTCAATTTTAAAAAAAGGTAGTATAATACCGATACATAAGTCAGGAACAAAAACAGATGTTAACAACTATAGACCAATATCAATAATATCCAGTGTAGCAAAGGTTTTTGAAAAAGTTTTATCTACTAGAATGATTCGATACCTCACAAAATTCAAAATTTTAAGTGAAAATCAATATGGATTTACAGAAGAGAAGGCTACATCGGACGCAATAACTAAAATTGTAAATCAAATACATCAAAATATTGATAACAGAATCCCTTCAATCTGCATTTTTGTTGATTTAAAGAAAGCTTTCGACACAGTTAATCACAAATTATTATTAGAAGCATTGGAGAGAATTGGTTTCAGAGGAAACGCGTACTCACTGATCGAAAGTTATTTGTCAAATCGCCCACAATCTGTACAGATATCAGGATCATTTAGTAAAGAAATGTATATTAAGTGTGGTGTCCCACAAGGAACTGTCTTAGGTCCGCTGTTATTCAATATATATTTAAATGATATTTTCCAAATTAATTGTGTTGGCAAAATAACTAGTTTTGCAGATGATACTGCAATATTATATGAAGGCACTGACTGGTCTGATCTGAAAAATGTAATTGAAAATGATTTTATCAAAATTATTCGGTGGTTTAACAGTAGAAAATTAAGCATTAACTACTCTAAAACACATTTTTTACCATTTGGATCTTATGCTAGACATCTGCCAAATTACACAAATTTCTCCTTCAATATTAATGATCAAAAAATGCAAATTAATAGAGTGCCCAACATAAAATACCTTGAAGTGGTCTTGGATCCTCACTTACGATGGGACATCCATGTCAATTATATTTTAAAGAAAGTTAGATTTGTATCCTACAAAATTAAATACCTTGGGAATATATTGACAGAAAAATATCTTCGAACATTATACCATGCACTGATTGAGCCTCATCTCACATATGGTATATTAGCATGGGGAGCTGCATGTTCCTCACATATCTATAATTTAGATGTTTTTCAAAAAAGTATTCTAAAAATGATATTTAAAAAACCGAAACTTTATCCCACTGAAAAATTATACGCAGATGTTCGAATGTATGAAATAAGACAGCTTTATTTCTTACACAGTATCACTCACTACCATAAATTTGTAAACACCGACCAAAAAATTAAACATAATCATTATACCAGGTACAAAATTCGTGGCACAGTAGTTCCTCAACCGCATAAATCTATAATGCAGCGATCATATCTCTATTTAGCGCCTAAATTTTATGAAATTATACCTAAAGACTTAAAAGATTTACGTTTCGGAAATTGTTTCAAAAGAAATTTAAAAAAGTGGCTACATTCTAACTCATAAATACGAACATCAACTAAATACATAATCTATTGTAGCTAATTTTTGTCATTTGCATTCTACAGTTTCAACTTAAATTATTGGTCCATGTAAAGGCGATGCCTTCTATTGGGCCTGTTTTGATTTTATATTTATTTACTCATATTGTTTGTTATCTTTGTACATTGAGTGAATAAATATTATTATTATTATTATTATCAAGAGTGTAACTGATATAGTAAGCACCATACCTTCAAGTAAAGAGGAAGCTATAACGGCAGCACTGCCTTTAGAAGAGGAATTTTTGAGGTTTCAAGAAATTTCGTTGAATAAGCTGTTTTTCAATTGAAGAAAAAATCTACGGGTGATGAAGCACTTACATGCAGTTTGGTGAAGCAATTGATTGATCTAATTGGCTACCCCCTTTTGAATATTGGGGTGATTTTTTAAGAGGTATAGGATTTGATTAAAAAAAAAACACAAAAAATTGAAAAACGATTAAATCTTTATTTGAGTCGATAGAACGGTCGATATAATTGTTTAAAGATTATTTCATGTAAATGTTGGCCGCGGCTCCGCTTTAGATGGCGCATGCGCAAGGTCCAATTTTGGCACACTCTCTCCAACATATCGGCCGGTGTCTCACGAATAAATGCTTCAATATTGGCTTCCAGTGCGTCAATCGTTGCTGGTTTATCCCTGTAGACATTAGCCTTAACATGGCCCCACAAGAAATAGTCCAACGGCGTTAAATCACACGATCTAGGCGGCCAATTGACGGGCCCCAAACTGTTCACCGAACTCGCCTCTCAATAGGGCCATTGTTTCGTGTGCGGTGTGGCATGGGGCACCGGCTTGTTGAAACCACATGTCAGCCAAGTCTAGCTCTTCCATTTTGGGCAAAAAAAAGTTTGTTATCATCGCACGGTAGCGCTCGCCATTCACAGTTACGTTCCGGCCATTGTCGTATTTGAAGAAGTACGACCCGATGATGCCACCGGCCCATAAGCCACACCAAACAGTGATTTTTCGGGATGCATTGGTAGCTCTTGCAATGCTTCTGGCTGGTCTTCACTCGAGATGCGGCAATTTTGCTTGTTAACGTACTCATTCAACCAGAAATGAGCTTCGTCGCTGAAGACAACTTTTCGATAAGCCCAACCAAATTGGAAACGTTGTGGGATGTCGTGTGGCTTCAATTCTTGCACCAGTTGTATCTTATAAGGTTTTACACCCAAATCCTGACGCAAAATTTTCCACGTAGAGGCCCAATTGCTGCGAACGGCGGCGAATCGACATTTCACCGTCATCACTAACACTGGCGGATACAGCCGCAATATTTTCTTCAGTCCTCACTCTACGTCTGCGTGTTGCTGGTTTAATGTCCAATAATGTAAACTGGGTTCGAAATTGAGTCACAAGCTTCCCAATACCTCCCTCAGTAGGCCGACCAAATTGCCCATAAATTGGAAGCAGTGCTCGATGCACTCTCTTAACCGAGCATGGATTTTGATAGTAAAATTCAATAATTTGCAAGCGTTGTTCGTTCGTAAGTCGATTCATGGTTAAATTATAGACCAAACTGAACAAGTTTGACAATGACACAAGACACGATTCACGCGTCATCTGTCAAAAACAGTGTTGCCAAAAACATAGTAGCAAAAAAATCACCCATTACATCGCTCAGAACAGGAAAGACGCCTTCGTTGTTGAAGAGGAGAATTATAGTCCTATTACCCAAAACAAACAATGCACGTAAGCCAGAAGACTTGCGACCCATCAATCTTATGCCAGTCGTCGAGAAAGGAAGAGAAATAACAGTGCATGAACAGCTGAGTGATCATCTACGTGTGAACGATGTTCTTTTTGAGAGGCAATCCGGGTTCAGAAGAAATCATTCTTGTGAAACTGCATGCCACTTTGTATGTACAAAGTGGAAAAAAGTTGTAGATGATGGTAAAGTGATTGTGTGTATGTCTGTTGACCTAAAAAGCGCGTTTGAAACTATGGACAGGAAATTGTTGTTGAGAAAATGTGAAATGTATGGAATTAAGGGTACAGCGCTCTTGTGGGAGTTTCTGTTGATCATGGAGTACCTCAAGGCAGCGTACTAGGCCCATTGCTGTTTATTCTATATGTCAATGATATGTCGAATGTCCTTAGCAATTCTTTTATAAATTTGTTTGCGGAGTGCATGCGTCAGTTGAACCTTGTACGCATGCAAACACAGATCTTTTGTCAAAATTCTTTGCAGAGCGGGTCTGGTAAGGTTCAATTCATGGCCACGGTGCCGAATGGAAGTGCCTGGGTTCTCGGCCACACTTTCCCGCATTGGGACTATATTTTCGAGGGACCGACCAGAACGGCGAGGAACAGTGGTCTTCACATTCAGCAACGTGAATTTTGTGTAAAATTTCCTCGTAATTTTCTCCATTATTTTAGTGAAACGCTGCTAGGTTGAATACTGCTCCATGACATCTAATCGCGTGGTCTGGACATGACAGCTGTCAGCAAGTAAACACCATATCATTTGAACAAAACAAAAAATGGCGGCAAATTCAAATCCAGCGCTCTTGTTGAGACACCCTTTATAAAAGATACTGTATATCTTAGAATGCCGCAACTTACCTATTCAACCCTTGCAATATACTTTCCGATTTGATCATCTCGGTACTGCTTTTGGTCTGCTGCACTGAACTGCTCGTCACCGTGACACTTTGCGCCGTAAATTGTGCGGACTGTTGCGAGCTGCGCTTGCTGTAACTCGAAGACCGTGCCGAAGATGACGTCGCGACGCCGGAATCGGCGTTCGACAGTCGCCGGTAGTCGGAGACAGCTTGGTGCAGATGCAGATGGTGCTCCGACGCGTGATTGGAAATGCTGGAAGAGAGTGATGATTCTTCCCAAGAGGTGGAACCGTTGCCTCCTAGAAATAAGTCATTTTTATTGCTATTTTGTCGATGAAGTTTAAAGTGCACTTATAAGTTAGATCAGTGATCGCCAATCCGCGAATCGCGAACTACCGGTAGCTCGCAAAGACGATTCTCATAATAAACGCGAGCAGCGGCAACACTGCGGTGAGCGATCTGTTCGAGAACGAACTCGATTACTTTGAACAAAATAAATACGCAAGGTGCGGTGACAGTTGAAAAATCATTCCCATTACGCTCTGCAACCAGAACTGAAAAACTGAAACAATTAAATAATCAGTTAATTGAACAACATGCAATGTTTTTGAAAACAATCGACAAAAGTAAGGCTGCAACTGAAGCATCATACCGGGTGTCCCAGATAATTACACAAAAAACCGTATGAAGACGGGGAAATGATAAAACAGGTGTTTTTAGAAGCTGCAGATTCATTATTTGCCAACTTTAGAAACAAAGACGAGATAGTATCTGCTATAAAATCTATGCAACTGTCTGCTAATACATTGATGAGACGAATAGAAGTAATGATCAATATATTTTATAGTTTTACAGCTGAGAAATGACTTCGATAACTGTGCTTATTTTTCACTGCAGCTGGATGAATCCACAGATGTCGTTGACACCTCTCCGATGGCCGTGTTCTTCAGGATGGTTTTTAGTGATTTTATGATTAAAGAAGACCTTTTGAAATTTATTCCACTAAAAGGACAGACTACTGGGCGGAACTTGTTTTATTCTTTTGAAAATATTATTTCTTTTTAGAAAATTCCAATAACGAAAATGGTAGGCTTGACAACCGATGGCGCTCCAGTTTTGGTGGATCGTGATAAGGGTCTCGAGGTTATTTCGTAAAGATGGAAGTTTTCCGCATTATCCATCAGCAAGCATTATGTGGACATTGTATAAGACTAAACCACGTTATGAAATTAGTAGTAAAAATTGTGAACAAGATTAGAGCTCAAGCGTTACAACGGATATTATTCAAAACCTTGGCCGATGAAATTGACTGTCAATACGGGGAACTACTTCTTCGCTCTGAAGTCCAATGATTAAATAGAGGACGAAAGCTGAAACTTTTTAATTATATCATATCTGTCATATTTCAATTTTTCATGAACCGATTCCGGAACTGGAAAATTCAATCTGGCTTAGAGATTTTGGTTTTCTTGTGAATATTTCAGAAAAATTAAATGAACTTAATTTGCAACTTCAGGGGGAAGACATGATTTCTTATATAAAAGCGTTAAAAAAAAGCTTGAGTTTTGGGAACAAAACTTAATCGATGGCGATACCAGGCATTTTCCTGTTCTTTCAAAAAAGATATCTCAAAGTCCATTAGAACCATATGACAGTGAATATCATGTAGAAATAGTCTCTAACTTGAAGGAAAAATCGTTTCAAATTGCTATAGTGGCGCAATTTGTTGTTTCACCCTTAATTCACCCAAATAGTTGTGCGACCTTTTCGTTGAGCCACCCTGTATATAATTTGTTAGTTTGACACCAATTCTTCAAATCCACCGAATAATAACTCGCAGTATTTTTTATTGTCAATATGGTGAAATTTCAAATCATCTGCAAACAGAAGACTGTTGCAAGTCAAACTGACTGTTATATCATTTACATATATATATATATATATATATATATATATATATAACTTGAGACGTGGTCATTGTCGTCTAGACCAGTTAGGTGAAAAATTAAAGCTTCCGCCTTTTGTTGGGTACTTCGACAAAATTTAAGCAAAGAGGACTCTTTATACTTTTTTTAATTCTCTCTAGCTTTCAATGCACTTTGCCATCATCATCAGGAGCTGCAATTACAATGATAACAGTAGCAACAAAAGTGTAAAATGAATTTAAATTGACTCAACTTACAGTAGTATGTGAGGATGTTGCTAATTGTTGGTTACGTATAGGATGAGGGAAACGTCCAGTAACATGGTGAGAGCTGGATACATGGTACAATGGTCAAAATTATATAAAATATGATAAGACAAGTTAAAAACAGATTAAAAATTATTTAAAAAACATTAGAGCATTACATCGTGAAGCCACTTGATGATTGCACAAAATGGTGGTCATGGAATAATGAGTGAGATGAACCTTTGACAGAAGGCCGAAGGTTGTCAATTTCTTTGTTGAAAGATGGAACGAATTGTGGGTGTGTGCCAACGTCGCCAAATCACTTCAGATGATGTGATTTTCAGAATGCTATGTAAGAAATTGTTAAACCGACCAGAGGCAGTTGAATAAACTATATTTTAATTAATGGGAATTTTAAATTAACAATTGTTGGTGGAATCGGCCAAAACACAGATTATATTTATGGTTGTGAAAGTATAAAGAGTCATCTTTGCTTAAATTTTGTCGAAGTACCCAACAAAAGGCGGAAGCTTTAATTTTTCACAAATATATATATATATATATATATATATATAACTTGAGACGTGGTCATTGTCATCTAGACCAGTTAGGTGAAAAATTAAAGCTTCCGCCTTTTGTTGGGTACTTCGATAAAATTTGAGCAAAGAGGACTCTTTATACTTTATTAATCTCTAGCTTTCAATAGTCTTTGCCATCTTCATCAGGAGCTGCAACAACATTGAGAAAAATAGCAACTGTTGGGCAAAATGAATTTTAAATTAATTTATGTGAGAATGTTGCTAAATGTCATATACATATATATATATATATATCAGAGAAAGGCTGAAGAAACTTTATTATAGATGAGTGCTTACCAAAAATGTCAGAGGTGTGATTATCAAAATATATGTCATCTCCGTCCATGAGGGCCCTTATTTCATCTTCTTCCCTCGAAGAGTTGTTCAGGACCGAATCTACGCTTCCAGCACTTTCAGAGAGCAGCGATATTGAGTCTTCCGGTGATTTAGACCTCATGGATACCCTAAAAATAACATAAAATATACAACTACAATGTATCAGTGGACTAATTCATTTTCGAATTTCTGGAGTTAAGTCGCTGCGGATTTCTCAAATTACCAATTTGTTACATCGACAATTTCCGTAACTGTGGGGGGTTAAGTTTTGAATCAAATATTGAATTGGATGTTTTTTTAATGTGTTTGAATACTACAAACCTCTCCAAGCTGGTCGTCATAGGCGAATGATCCGAATAACATTCATCTATCAGTCGATGCAGTCTGAAATTTTTCTTCTTTGGTGGTAAAGGAGGTGGCGTAAGAGATGTGTTAGGATCCGACCTACAGAGAGATTCTGGTAATGGTGGTTTAGGAGGAGGACTTGAATCTCTAAAAAAAAAAACATGAATTTTAGTTAATCAGCCTTCTAATGCTTGCTAGATCTAATATGATTTACAATGATCTTATTAGATGACAATAATTGTAGGACGCCTTTATGACCTCCTTGATTTTGATGGTATTTTTTCTCCTTCAGAAAGGCTAGGGCATTTCTAGATTTTTACTGTTCCGTGTCAGCATCAGCGTTCTCTTATTGGAGGCAGTGTCCTTTTTGAATTGTAGGAAATGTCAGGCTGATATAATGGATGATACAAAGGGTACTATAAAAGTTTTTCAATATGACCTAACAAACGGACGCTGGAGGCTGCATGTTGAGACATGTCCATGAGTGCATAGTAGCCGCCAGCAGCAGTAGATTTAGTTGTTCATTCGTACTGACAGCGTCGTGGTCACGTAGTGAGATAAGGGCAGTTTTACGGTATAAGTTTACGCGTGGTTTAAGTATAGCCTTTCACGGCCATCATGTGTGCCCAAACAGAATCTGGAAGCATCGCTGAACAAGACTGAGTTCCATTCCATGTTCCATCCAAGTCTCTCCCTACTCCATACCAGTCGTTGCCGACGATGCTGCGGGGTTAGAGGTAGTACAAGATGGGGACGGTATGAAAACAGTCAACAAGACTTTACTCGGCGATAAACTGTCCTCATTTTTATTGCCCTTCCGACGAGCCGCGGGTTCGCAACTGCCCGTGATGCGGAAAATCGATCTCTAAGTGCTAGTCGCCTCAAATAACGATCATGTCGCTCTGTAGTCTGTGTTTGACGTTCAGCACGTCTAAATCGTCGATTTCGGCCTTCCTGGAGCCACGCTCGACATCTCATTACAGAAGCTTCGTTTCGATTATCCGATTTCTCTAAAAGAAAATCCGGCTTATCCGATCCCTCTCAAACTCGGAAAGTTGAGTGTGCGTCTGCGAACTCTAGGCATGATAATGCAATGAAACAAATAGAACCAACACATACAAATCACTGAATATTAAGTACACATATTCATATTGTTCGGATCTTGATATAACAAAAATGTACGGCCCGGAATGCCTTCAACATTTTATCCATGACAGCAAATATGTACACAAGTTTATATAAAAATTCAATAAATAATTCTGGGTGATGCATTTTATATGCCACTTAGTATACAGGGTGTAAACGTTTTTTTGTCTAAATGGCTTTATAGTTTACAACTTTTAGTGATTTATATTGACCACAATCACCACAATCTTACTAATTCTTATAATCTAATCTAAAACGTTTTTAAATTGGGTAATTAACAAATAAATGGCATTAAGTTAAGCCAAAATTTGTAGTCAGTAAGTAAGTTTCACTAAATTGAATATTTAAAACACACATGACAACAGCGCGTCGGTCATCAACACTCGTATCGAACCGGCAATCGATCGCAAACGGTAACAGTGATATGTCGTTTTGTTTTTGTTCGCGTACGTCGTCGTGTTCATATACAATGTTCTCGAAGCAAGAGTTCGCCGACATGTTGTTAGTTTACGGTGAAGTTTGTCAGAATTCAAATCTTGCAGCTCAAATTTATCGTATAGCCCATAGAATCCTACGGGAAAATTTGCTTTATCCCTACCATGTACAACGAGTGCAGGCCTTGTTCCCAGAAGACTCTCCTCGCAGACTAACATTCTGACAGTGGTTTTTGCTCAAAAATATTGAAAAACCGGATTTTTTTAAAAACATTCTAGCGACGGACGAATGTATGCTTTATCTGAAGTCACTTGAAATAGCATAAAAATCTTTGGTCGGCGCGTCCTTTGTAATTTCATGACGTATCATAGGCGTGCGGTTATTTATTTAGAACGATAATAATAATGTTTTTATATCACAATAAATGGATTTTACTATCTTCTTATTTTTTTGATTTGGGATAAAAAATACTTATATTGGGAGTTCAATTTATCTTGACTGAAAGTTAAGAAATGGAAAAATTACAGAATTCCAACGTTTGACATAGGCAAATATTTACATAGCAGGTAGGTATATAAAAAGGTATATAAAGACTTACATTATAGGTATTTATATATCATCCTCGCCTTCGGAGCTGTCGCTAGAGTCATCTTGTAGAGGAATTACAACGGGATTTACAGGAGGCAAAACACAATATTCATTTTCTTTTTCAATAATATGCCTAGAACACTGCTTCCATAGGTCTGTGGCAGCAATATGAGGTACTGCATCTCTTATTGTGGCCAATAGCGATTCACTTAATTGAGGGGTCTGATTATGTTTTCTTACTTTTTTTTTTAAAGCAGCCCAGACCAACTCAATCGGGTTAAAAATGCAGTAATAGGGAGGTAGACGTAATACTTCATGGCCATTTTGCTGAAGCAGATTGTCAACAACATACTCTTTTTCAAATTTTTGTCTTTTAATAAGATCCAATAATATGGCTTTGGTTGATTTTTGTGGTATTTCCTTTCCCTTATCCTTCATAAAATCAATAATGTCTTGTTTTTTTGTGCCTGTATTCGGAATTTTGTTTTTCTGTCGGGAATGGTATGGCGCATTGTCCATAATAATCACTGAATTTGGGGAAATGTTTGGTATTAACTGCTGCTCTATCCACTTTTCAAATAAGTCGGAGGTCATGTCCTCATGATAGTCGGCACATGATTCTTTGATATTTTTGGCAGATAACAGCAAGGCATTAGGTATAAATCCATTTTCACTGCCAGCATGGAGAATAATGATTCGTTTTCCACGGTTGCATGGTGCATTTAAAATGCACTTGTTGCTGTCGTCAACCCAGCCGTACTGCACAACATCATGGGTATCATACCACATTTCATCCAGGTAAATCAGATTTCTTTTCTGCTCTCTATAGATTTTAACTTTGTGCAAAAATTCTTGGCGCAATTCAACGATTCGAGACGACTCCATAATCACCATTCTTTTATCTCATTTTTTGTATTGAAAACCACACAGTTTTACAATACAGTGCAGTGAGTCTAAGCATTTGTAATTATAAAAATCTTCAGGATAATCTTTTAATTTATCCCGTATCATTTCCAACGTGGGCACCAAATTTTCTTTATAAAATCCGTATATTATACGACGAATATCTTCCTGAAAACCCACGTCTATTCTTTTTAATTTTTGCCCTATGCACTTTCTGTGGAAGGAATGGTTGACTACATCTCCCCTTTTTATAACTCGATAAATGGTAGACCGACTGATTTTTGTCAGGATACAAATTCTGTTTAAAATTTGATTTTGCGAGGAATCTGGATTTTCGTTTTTCAGACAATCATACATATTTAGGATTACTCTTTGAGTCTGTTCCTCTAAATCTTTATGAAAGAATTCTGCCTGCACAGGTTCATCAACCATCTCCTCGTGGCTTGGAGCATTTTCCCAAGGTCTCCAAAGAGCCATATTTAGGACACACAAGAACAATCAACACAACAATTAAATCAACAAGTAAACTGAGTATTCAAAAGTCAAAAACACACAAACTAGTAAAATCTATGAAAAAACACGGACAGACTAAAGAAAACACGTTTATTCACCGCTACACGGGACTGGCTAAACTGTTTCAATTTTCAGTAGCCACCTGCACTTGTTCGGAGCTCTGAAATACACGCTTTCTCATTGGCTATGTCCGCGCATAGGGGTGCTTTACTCCACGTGGACCGGTGAAACTGCCTTTGATCTTATACGGGGGATATTTGCTGCGAAATTTGGCGATTTTTGCAGCAACAGAGCGTGTTAAATATAGATATATAAAACGCACCCGGTATTTCACAGTGTTTCAAGTGACTTCAGATAAAGTATACTTTTATGCGAGACGGGTTATTAAATTTCCATAATATTCACACGTGGGCCCAAGAAAATCCTCATAACATTCGTGAAGGTCATTTCCAACAACGTTTTAAAAAAAATATTTGGGCGGGTATTCTTGACGATCAGGTAATTGGCCCTTTCAAGTTACCCCCAAAGTTGTCAGGAAAAGGATACCTTAGCTTTCTAGCCAATAACCTACCAGAACTTTTGAAACAGACCTTAGACAACATGCCATTACAACGGAGACATAATTTGTGGTTTCTCCATGACGGGGCACCACCACACATTTTTAGAGAAGTCATTCAGTATTTAAATGAACATTATCCAAATCGATGGATCGGTCGAAAAAAGTTTTAATGCGGCTGAAATAATAAATGGACAATTTCGAGGACCTACAGTATATTCAGATAAGAGATAGACCGGACATAAACAAGACCACGTGATCATCGAACGCTGTAACATTCAGCAGGGACGTATTAAGAGTCACGCAGTACATATTTTAGATAGTAGATGCTGCTTTGCGTAACTTTGTAGTAAATTAGCACAATTCGATGTGTATACGATTGGTGGTGGATATAGGATCATGTGGGGGTGGGGTAAGAAATATATAATGATGTAAATATACATAAGGGTTTCAAAATTTTCGCTTCGATTTCCAGCTTCGGATGCCGCCTGATGTTTGGTGAAATACAGTCGAATATAATCTCAAAATGGCGTTTAAATTAGCCTAAATTAAAAATAATCGTATATCTCTTAAAATTGCTTTTAGAATATTGATTAGTATATTTTTTGATTCCTAGGTAAATATGTAACCAAATTAAAACGTTCAAAACGTAAAAAAATGTGCATGGTTGAACATCGTCAGAAAGTAGATTCTTGAATAGGTTTTGCCAAAATGGGTTCAAAAATGTCAATAATTAATTAAAAAATACAGTAGCTTTATAATTACTTATAACTTACCGAATTTGATGAACGACATCTTTTATTGGAAAGATGAGCTTGATGAGCTTTCATCATCGCTACTGCCTGAAGCACCAACGTCAATAATGAATGGCTCGACTTGTTCCTCTAAAATATTGTCCAGTTCCCACATTCTCTTTTCAACTTTGTCTTTCACGTGCTTAATACAGTTTTTCCATTTTTGCGCTGTTATTAATTCTAGTGCTTCTTTGAAAAGTCCTTTGAGGTCACAAAATTTAAAAGATGTATTATGCTTAGCTATATAATTTTTAACCTCTGCCCATATGAGCTCAATGGGATTGAGCTCGCAATGGTATGGAGGTAAACGGAGCACAGTTTTATTTTGACTTGCTGCCATTTCGTCAATGGCGTATTTTTTGATATTCCGCCCTGTGATCCTTGACAATTCTTAATAATTGTACTTTCAACATTGCTTCTTCAAAGTTGATATTTTTCGAGCGGAGCCAATTTTGAACATCAGCTTTCCTTGAAGCCGTTGTTGGGACCTTCTCCATTCTTCGAGAATGATAAGGCGCATTATCCAACACAATTACTGCGTTTTCCTCTAAGTTCGGTAAAATTTTTGAAAACCACTGTTCAAACGATTCGCCATTCATTTCCTCGTGGTAATCTCCAGTTTTCTTAGACTCAAAGCACCACAGACCGTCAACAACAAATCCATCCTCACTGCCAATATGGCAGATAATGAGCCTTTTCCCTTTACCTGGAAATCGAAGTACTAACTGGTGTAGATTTATTTCAATAAGCGAACCTTTTTTAAATGTTTTCATCACATTCAGCGAAAAAACATTGAGACATGAGTATCAGATTGCTATAAATGGGATTATTTAGTCATATTGAAAGAAAGAATATTGAACGTCGTATGATTACTCAGTGCTTCACAATTTAATTTAAAGTTATAAACCTTTAAAAAATGAATGATCAGGAACCTGAAATACGCGCAAATATTAATATTAACAAATTATAACTTTATAAAGCTTAAAGTATGAATTAAAATGATTAGAAATATTAGGAACGGTACACAATATAAAACTTAGTAACTTTTTTTAAGTTTATAATATTCGACATATTTTAAGATTATATTAAAAAATTATTGAAATATCGAAAACACATAAAAACATGGCTTAAAAAAGTTCTAACAAATGAAAATGACAATAAAACATCCACGCATTTTATCGAAAGTTATAAAAGTTTTGTTACTTGTAATATGTTTTATCTGCCCCCTGGAATTAATGTTTAGAACCTTGTTCCCAAGGTTTGAAAAACATCCGATTGTTGTCTATTACTCGTATTTACCTGCTGGATTTTTTAATCCGGTGGACAGTCCATCTAGAAAGGCCCTCCTGGATGAAGTTACAGAATCATCAACCCATACTTTACTTGTAGTGTGTCCTGCGTTTACCCACGTTTCATCAAGGTAATAAATCTTCCTGTTTTGATTTCTATATTTCCCAATTTTTGTTAAATAATCCCTCCTCCATAGCACAATTTCTTCTCTATCCAGTAGTAAACTATTACGACCCCGTTTTTTCCATTTGAAATTTAAATGCTTCGGTAACGCATGGAAAGTTGAACGTTTGAAATTTGGCAACGTTGTATCTCCATTTACCTCCTGCAGTACTTTATCTATAGTAGGTATTTCATTCCTAAAGAAGAATTCATGCACTTTCCTCCTAATCGCATGCTTATCAGCTTCATCCAATGATTTAACAATACTTTTGCGATGTTTACTGGTCATTGGCTCAGAAAAGGTGTGATTTTTTTTGTATTGTCTTAACACATTAAATACTGATGCGCGACACACCCCAACTTTGTGAGAAACCTTCACAACAATTTCTTCGATGGTTGATGCCTCGTTCTCCTCGCGCTCGATCTTATATATATTCAAAATGACCTCTTTCATTTCTGCACTCAGGTGTCTTTTTTTAGAGCGTTTCCTAGGTGGACTACAGGAGTTTACAACTTCATCGGCAGTATCTGTACTACTGGGCATTTTGCGCAAGCAGTTGATAACAATAACAATCAATAACAAGGTATAACAATAACAACGACAAACTCAACAACTTAATAAGATAACAAACGAAAACGTCCAAAGAAATATCATATTGCAATGATGCACACGACATACGTAACACGTCTGAACCTGAATGTGACTCTGCCTTCATACGACTGCTCTGCCGCTCGGCATAGGCATTTAATTGCGAATTGACCAATGAGGGCTCCTGTTTTACGTCGAGACGGCGGCGTTAGCGTGAAAATCACCCGAACCTTTTGTTTACATCCGGTCTATCTCTTATCTGAATATACTGTAGAGTAAGAAGAAACTGGGTTCGTCGTAATGTAGCTTGTGTGAAAGTGGAAGACGACATTTTGAACACCTTCTTTAAATACAAAAAAAAGTGCAGTGTGGGTTTCAAAAAGAAAAACAATGCATGTATCAAAATTGTGTTGTAATGACTATCGTAACATTTACACCTTGTAGTTAGAAAATTGGTGTACGAATTGTAGTGGTCTTACCGTAATATTGATTCTGTACTGTGACTGCCCCTGACAGGATTCGCATGTGCAGTCCTCTGAAGTATTTCCATTTCTCTGGGCGTTAGAGGGATATCGGGTAGGGAGTTTCTCTGGCCCGTTGCCTCGATGTTACTGTACGATGTTCTAGGACCCGTTTTGTAGGATGGTGTCGAATGGTGATGTTGCTGTTCTGATATCTTTTTTTGAGCCAGCTCGATTAGTTCCTGAAAACACGAAATTGCATGAAACAATCCGAATCGCTTTTCGATCACAGTCAGAAAAAATAAAACATCTAATACTAACCTTAACGGACACTTCTACTTGGGTAACTATATCTCCGACGTTGTCAATATCCAGTTCCGAACTTTGAGAATCGATTAGCACGTCATCGCAAAGCTTGATGAGTCTCGCTACGCTTTGATACATTCTAGAAGGTTAAGAAAAAGTTAAAATACCATTTACTCACGTTTACGTTCAAAAATTACACTGGACAACAAATTTTAGTTTTTTAATTGTATCTTGTGGGAAAAGCGCACTTCTTTGTTAATTTTGGGGCGCTGAATCCAAAAATGACAATGAAATAAAAAAATTAGTTGCGGTTTAGAAAAAAAAAATTTATTTTTAAGGATTTATTAAAAAAGTAACAAGATTCATATACTTATAAGAATCACTATTTGCGCTGTCTTTTTGCTGTTCTTTTATGCATCGTTTCTGGAGCATTTCTACCAACAGTAGTCTGCAAGCATGAAAGGATTCCACTTTCCCTGGTACCTTTTTTCCATTGTTCAAATATCCTGATGAAAACGTTCGCCGTGCTCATCACTTACGGCTCCGCAATTGTCAGGAAAAAAGTCCAGGTGTGAGTGTAGGAAATGTATCTTAAGAGACATATTACAGCCCATCTTTTGATACGATGACAGCATATTTTTGACAAGGGTTTTATAGTTGTCAGCTTTTCTATTTCCCAAGAAATTAGTGACCACCAGACGGAAATCATTCCAAGCAGTTTTTTCAATACCTGTTAAAGTGTTTTCAAACTGTGTATCTTTCAAAATATTTCGAATCTGTGGCCCAACAAAAATACCTTCTTTAACCTTTGCCTCACTTAGTCTTCGAAATTTCTGACGCAGGTATTGAAAAGCTGACCCATTTCTATCTAATGCCTTGACAAAGTTTTTCATTAGGCCCAACTTGATATGCAGTGGTGGTAATATTTTTTTTTCTTGGCCTGGCTCTAGGAATTGACGAACAGGCCAGTTTTGTCTGGTGTAATGAAGTGCCTTTGCCCGACTGTCCCATTCACACAAAAAACAGCAAAACTTTGTGTAGCCTAGCTGCAGCCCAAGTAAAAGTGCAACAACTTTCAAATCGCCACAAATATGCCATTGGTGCTCATCGTATTTTATGCATGTCAATAGGTACTTCATATTGTCATATGATTCTTTCATGTGAACTGCATACCCTACAGGAAGAGATGGTAAAATATTTCCAATATGCAATAACACTGCCTTTAAACTCAATGTTGAACTGTCTATAAACAATCTCCATTCTTCTGGGTTATAGTTTATATTTAAAGCCGCCAGTAAGCCGTTAATGTTACTGCAGAAAACCAAGTTATTCTCCATATTGAAAAATGTGGCGTTTACGAAACACACATACCAAAACATCGTCTTCTAACAAGTTCCACTGCTGCAGTCTTGATCCAAGTAACTCTGCCTTACATTTTGGAAGTTCTAAATCTCTTACAAGATCATTTAATTCTGACTGTGTTATTTTGTGCGGTTGGTGGCATGACCTGCTCGGTATAAAATCAGGATCTCTTGACGTTGATGGCATATCTTCTTCCTGACGAATCACTCGATCGCCATGATCTGATTCGTTTTCTGATTCGCAAGTGTAGGATTCTGGGGGTTTTGGAATATGATTTTCGTCACTGTGAGGCACAGGTCTCATCGCAGATGGTATGTTTGGGTAGTTAATAACCGATTTTTTTTCTTGGACATACCTGTGGCTTGTCCAACACAAGGTACCATGCAAAAGTAACAATCATTAATATGATTTGTAGGCTCTCTCCAAACCATTGGGACAGCAAAGCGTATAGACCGTTTTTTGCCATTTAACCAGCTCCTCAGACTTGAAGCACATGTATTACAGCAGATGTGCTTGTCTTGATCACCTAGTTTACAACCGAAATAAAGCTGATATGCCTTTGTTATTAGTGGAGTAATAGACCGTCTCTGAGACGCAAAAGTCACATCACCACACACGTAACAAAACTGATCTGGATTGTTTACACACTTTCGAGACATCTTGCATGAACGCTGTCAGCCAACTGAGGAAAAAATGGCTAATATAAAACAATATAATGTACACGTATGTATAACGTAACACAATCATGCCGATTACATCATCTTTCCTTGCCGAATATAAAAATGTAGCACGTGCATTCTTGTGAATTACAGTATATTAACACTGTCACAGCAGGAACACATATAATTACCGTATCTCTAAAACTTGAACTAATATTGAAAAAATAAGTTTCATTCCGGTTTTAGCACATTAAAAATAGTAATATTTTGTTGATTTTATTTAGGATATTTTTTGGCTGTTGATCAGTGTTATTTGTAATCTTAATATCGTGGCTTATGATTTACAGTTATTCGAAAGTCAGGAAGCTGTCAAATATCTTGAGAAATAACGGGCCAACATTCATCAAGTTTTGAACGTGACTGAATTTTAGCCAGATTGACCATTTTTTCAGGATCATGTCCTTTTTTTTAATCAAATAGAATGGTTTAATCAGCTGTGGTGGCAGCCCAAACCATAATTTTACACTGAAAAAAAGGTAGATTTTCAAAAAAAAATAGTGAGAAATCAGGGAGAAATAGTGAATTACGTAGGTAAGTTAATTTTATGAGAAATTGAGTATTACAATGCCAAATTTAAACGGATAATATACAGGGTGTCCCAGAAGTCGACGTCAAGCCGAAACCGGGTGATAGGCAAAGTCATAACAGCTATCAGAAAAATATTTAAAAAAAATGTATGTATGTGTTTTGAAAATTATAGGTCTTTGAAAGAAATATAGAAATTTCACACCCTACGGCAGTCTGTCAACTCCTGTTACTACAAATATTAACTTTTTTTGGATTTTATTTTTACAATGTAATGATGAATAATGCATCTTCAAACTGGTGTCTCAACCTTACTGCCAACTTTTCTCGTTCAGGAAAAATTGCCACTTATTTCCCAACCAAGTATTCCAAAGTAAAACTTTGCTCAACTTTAACTGGCTGTACTGGAAAAAAATGTACTACGAGAGTTTGGCAAGTAACCTTAAAAGTTGGCGCATTTAATAAGGATTCCAAAATTGTATAACACTTAAAAGATTACTCGTTAACTTATGCACAATTTTTATTTGAAGAAAAACCGATGAAAATTTTTCAAAATTTCCTAATTAAACAGCGATTATGGTGGACGTGCCACTGAGTATTTACAGGGACATGTGGTTTCAGCATGATGGCTGCCCAGCGCACTATGCACTCTCAGTGAGAGAGTATCTCGATCAAAACTTTCCAGGCAGATGGATAAGGCGGTCTGGTACAATACCGTGGCCAGCCCGATCACCTGATTTGAATCCGTTAGATTTTTTTACTGGGGAACTGTAAAAGAAAAAGTGTATTTCAAACCGATTCAAAATGTAGCTGAGCTACGGCAAAGACTATTGGAAGCAGCTGAGTTTGTTAATAACCGTGGATTCGCTCGTTTAATAACCCGATCTTTTTTAATGATGTCGAGCGTGTATTGCGGCTGAAGGAAAACAGTTTGAGCATTTGCTGTAAAGGTAAATCATCATCAGCAGCATTTTGACGCCCACTGTTGTGCAAACAGTTATCCTTAAGGTTTCTTGTACGTTTTCATAATCGCTGTTTAATTAGGAAATTTTGAAAAATTTTCATCAGTTTTTTTTCAAATAAAAATTGTGCATAAGTTAACGAGTAATCTTCTAAGTGTTATACCATTTTGGAATCCTTATTAAGTGCGCCTTTTAAGGTGACTTGCCAAACTCTCGTAGTACATTTTTTTCCAGTACAGCCAGTTGAAGTTGAGCAAAGTTTTACTTTGGAATACTTGGTTGGGAAATAAGTGGAATTTTTCCTGAACGAGAAAAGTTGGCAGTAAGGTTGAGACACCAGTTTGAAGATGCATTATTCCTCATTACATTGTAAAAATAAAATCCAAAAAAAGTTAATATTTGTAGTAATTTTCAAAACACATACGTAACATTTTTTTAAATATTTTTTGTTATGACTTTGCCTATCACCCGGTTTCGGCTTGACGTCGACTTCTGGGACACCGTGTATAAGAATGTGTGAAAAAAAAACAGAATAACTCATATGAGTAAAGAAAAAAGATACTGTTGCTCTCAAATTTATGAAAGTAGTCTAGTTTCTGATTATTGATTTTACTTTTTACAAAATTTGGTGGTGGTGACATTGTATCGTTTCCAGATTTTTTATGTCGACATATCTCCACAAGCATGTTTGATGGAATCCTGATATTAGGAGATTATACTAAGGGGTACTAGAGGGTTTTGTATACGCTAATAATAAATATACCATTATATATAAATTCAAACAAATACAGTTCTTTCCGAAAAATTCGTAAATCTGGTAACAAGATTTGGTGAATATCGGTCAACTACTTCCTGATATATTTGACTATCTCTAGACTATTGACTAACCCTGCTTATTTACGTTATATTCAAAATATAGAAATTACCTTCTAGTTGCCGATTTGACGCCGTTGGAAGCGGCATCTCCCGCAACTGACGATTTCACTGCCAAATTGATCAACCATACCGTGTCCAGCACGATGGTTCCATTGCCTGGTAACATCTCCAATTTTTGCTTTGATACCACATCCCTGAAACAACCGAAACACTATTGTTACATTCTTAAATTTAAATAATTGTTCTACCGTAACTCCTGTTTGTAAAGTTAAGAATTCTGAGTTGTACACCAATATGCGGCCAATAAATGTTCTGCCAGATGTCGAAAAAGGTTTTGAAGAAATTATTTATGAGCGGATCATCGAATTTAATGAGAGAAATATTTTAACCAAATTTCAAGCTGGATTCAGGAAGAAACACTCAACTGAAACGGCAACACAAATGGTTTTAGAGGACTGGAGGAGATGTATGGATAATCGGAAACTTACAGTAACAGTGCTTTTGGACTTCAAAAGGGCATTTGAGACTATTGACAGGGATAAATTACTTACAAAACTGCATCACTACGGATTTAAAGGATCTGTATTCAAAATTTTACAAAACTATTTAATTGACAGAAGTCAAAAAACCAAATTGGATCTACATTATCAAGATCAAAAGATATTTCTGTTGGTATACCACAAGGTAGTAAACCTGGTCCACTACTATTTATTTTATACATTAATGACATTTGTAATATTTTAGATTATTGTAAACTTCAGATATTTGAAGATGATACATTAATATACATATCAGATGAAAATATAGGACACTGCTTTAAAAATGCTAAATTCTGACTTGATAAAAATCGTAAATTGGTTAAATGTAAATAAACTAACATTGAATACTTCTAAAACAAAATGTATGCTAATAGAACCTAAATGAAGTTACTACCACAGTTACGATAAATGGAGATATAATCGAAAATGTTGAATCAGTTAAATATTTAGGTATATACAGGGTGGCCAAACACGTGACGTCATAAAAAAAATAGATTCCCCACATCGAGAGGAACCCAAATCACCCCCATATATATGGTCCGATTTTGTTTAGTTTAGGAGTTATGATTTTTTTCGGATTTTTCGAGAATTTTTGAGTTCTGTGTTTATTTTTACCATAACTTCGTTAATAATTGTGATAAATGCCTGCTTTTTTCACGATTATGTAGCTAAGACCTAAGGCTTAACTATCATATAATCATTCAAGTCATGTAACTAATACTACTTTTTAATTTTTTTCAAAATCTTCGAACATAACAAAAAAGTAAAAAAGTGCAACAACTTTGAACGTTTATAAAAAATTGAAAAAACATGTTCTTACTATTCGTAAGTATCTTAAAAACTTCCTTACGATATCAGCTATTTACCGTAAAAATTTCATCAACCTAGCTTTACTACATGCTACCGTAATTGTGGCTCAAATAGAACCGAACCCAAAATTGGATAACCCTCTGCTCAATAGAAATTGTTAGTTTCGGAAAAAAAAATTGCAAAAACCACAAAAACACGTTTGATTTTTACTGAACAGCAGATTATTATTCATTTATGTTATTTACAAGAGGTTTTCAAAATGTCTGCCTCTAACAGAAATGCACAGTGTACACCTACGTATGAAATTTTGTTTTAAATCTCTAAATGCTTGTGTGTTGTTTTTCAACACATGTGTCGCTTCTTGAATTTTGTTCCTCAATGAATTTTCATTTGCACATTCTTGGGCGAATGTTATGTCTTTAAAATATCCCCAAACAAAAAAATCAATGGGGTTGAGGTCAGGGGAGCGTGGAGGCCATCGAATCGGTCCGTTTCGTCCGATCCATCTGTCTGGGAACCTTTCGTTTAAGTAGTTTCGCACGATCGTTGCGTTGTGGCATGGTGCACCATCATTCTGGAACACCATGTTCCGTCTGGCTTCCAGGCTTGAATCTTCCAGCAATAATGGTAGGCTATTTTCAAGGAAGCTTTTGTGGGCTACCGAATCCAACCTTGACGGCAGTTCAAATGGACCGATAAATTCCATATTGAATATTCCTGACATGTTCACACTAAAACGGTGTTGAAATGTCGACGGCCTTGACTGGTGGGGGTTTTCAACAGCCCAAGTATGTAAATTATGGATATTGAATATCCCTGTTCTTTCAAAACGTGACTCGTCAGTCCATAAAATTTTATCAAAAAAATCGGGATCCTCTTGTTGTCTTCGCAGCATTGTCTCGCAGAAGTCCACTCTTAACTGGTAATCTGAAGGCATCAACGCTTGAACTCTTTGAACATGATAGGCATGATAACCTTCTTCATGAAGAATATTTTGTATCGATGTTCGTGGTATTCTAAGGTTTTGTGCCATAAATCTCGTACTCGTTGAGGGATTCCGGCTAATTTCTTCAAGTACTACTTCTCTGCGATCCGAATCGAATTTATCGGTCCATTTGAACTGCCGTCAAGGTTGGATTCGGTAGCCTACAAAAACTTCCTTGAAAATAGCCTACCATTATTGCTGGAAGATTCAAGCCTGGAAGCCAGACGGAACATGGTGTTCCAGAATGATGGTGCACCATGCCACAACGCAACGATCGTGCGAAACTACTTAAACGAAAGGTTCCCAGACAGATGGATCGGACGAAACGGACCGATACGATGGCCTCCACGCTCCCCTGACCTCAACCCCATTGATTTTTTTGTTTGGGGATATTTTAAAGACATAACATTCGCCCAAGAATGTGCAAATGAAAATTCATTGAGGAACAAAATTCAAGAAGCGACACATGTGTTGAAAAACAACACACAAGCATTTAGAGATTTAAAACAAAATTTCATACGTAGGTGTACACTGTGCATTTCTGTTAGAGGCAGACATTTTGAAAACCTCTTGTAAATAACATAAATGAATAATAATCTGCTGTTCAGTAAAAATCAAACGTGTTTTTGTGGTTTTTGCAAATTTTTTTTCCGAAACTAACAATTTCTATTGAGCAGAGGGTTATCCAATTTTGGGTTCGGTTCTATTTGAGCCACAATTACGGTAGCATGTAGTAAAGCTAGGTTGATGAAATTTTTACGGTAAATAGCTGATACCGTAAGAAAGTTTTTAAGATGCTTACGAATAGTAAGAACATGTTTTTTCAATTTTTTATAAACGTTCAAAGTTGTTGCACTTTTTTACTTTTTTGTTATGTTCGAAGATTTTGAAAAAAATTAAAAAGTAGTATTAGTTACATGACTTGAATGATTATATGATACTTAAGCCTTAGGTCTTAGCTACATAATCGTGAAAAAAGCAGGCATTTATCACAATTATTAACGAAGTTATGGTAAAAATAAACACAGAACTCAAAAATTCTCGAAAAATCCTAAAAAAAATCATAACTCCTAAACTAAACAAAATCGGACCATATATATGGGGGTGATTTGGGTTCCTCTCGATGTGGGGAATCTAATTTTTTTTATGACGTCACGTGTTTGGCCACCCTGTATATTGATAGTAAACTAAAGTTTGAGGATGACTATGAATACATTATTTCAAAAATTGCCAAAAAAAACCTAATTACTTTTATAGGTCTTGGTACCATATTCCAACAAAATAGTTTATAATACAATTATTCTACCGCATTTACTATATTGTTCAACTATCTTGTTCGCTGCCAATTAAGCTATATTCTCAAAATTACAAGTCTTGCAAAATAGTGCTATGAGAATAATATTGAATAAAAATAAGTACACTAAAATAAAATCTATGTTACATGAACTGCAGTGGTTGAATATAAAAGAATTCATATTGGTTCGTATTTTTATATTTGAAATAAAAAATCATCTTTTGCCAGAACATTTAGAACACTACATAGAATTGAATAATCATTACTACAATTATTATACAAGAGGAAATATAGATATTCATTTACAAAATTGCAATAGTAATATAACTAGCAAATCGATATTTCAGAAAGGATTACTTGAATTTAATAACCTAAATAATGATATAAAGTCTACTTGTAATTTAAAGATATTTAAAAGAAAATTAAATAAATATTTCATAGACAATGAAAATTCTTAGAGATGCAATTTTTTTTCTAAATATGTGTATGTTATGTAATTGTTTAGTTTTTTAGAATAATGTAATTGTAGCAATCATGCTAAATAAATCTTAAACAAAACAAAACATCGTTACCGTTTTCTTGAAAATAAGACAAACATAATCGATTTGAACATTTTAAATTTCCAAAATAAAAAGTGGTACCAGACTGGCTCGGTTCTCAATTTCAAATTATCTATTATCCTTTAGGCAATGAAATATGTACATGCATAGGATTCGTCAACTTATATATGACTAAGATAAGTAATACATAAAAAAAAATATACAGGGTGTTTCAGTGTATTGTTGTGTTTGTTTATTGTTAGTGTATTAAAATGACCGAAAATTTTTTCTTAGTGCAATTTTTTGCTTTTTGAATAAAAAAACTGATTCTTCGCACTTTTCAACATGAAAAAGCTCTCTTGTGAATTTTCGTTATCGTTAGCCGTTTTTGAGATATTTCGATTTTTAAGGTTCGATGCATTTTTAACTATTTATGATAAAATAACGTTAAAAAGTCAGTATCTCGATAATTTTTAGAAGTAGGCTGTGCCTGCAAATATTTTTGAAATTGAAAGTATGCAGTTCGGGAAAGAAATTTTCAGCATGAATTTAGTGTGAACGTGTGGATTGGTATCTACGGTAATCGACTATTTGGACCCTACCTTTTGCCTGCAAGGTTAAATGCTGCGACCTTCTTGGAATTTTTAAAGGCTGAACATGCAAATATGTGGGATGATGTTATGTTATATATAAGAAGATTGGCCTGGTTCCAGCTTGATGGTTGTCCAGCTCATTATTCGAGAATAGTTAGAAACTGGCTGGACGAAAATTATCCAGAAAGATGGATCGGCCGTGGAGGACCAGTCGCCTGGCCTCCACGATCCCCTGACCTAAATCCATTAGATTTCTTTGTGTGGGGATTTCTAAAAGAAAAAGTGTACCAGACTCCCGTAACCACAAGAGACAGAATCAGGAATGCATGTGATGAAATAAGGCCTTATTTGAATAATGCTATACCACGTTCGATCATTCGTAGATGTGAATTGTGTATTGAACAATTGGGTTTACATTTCGAGCATTTAGATTTTGTATGTTTGTCCTAACTATCCAATAGCATTTTAGTTGTAAATAATTAATTTAATTTGTTAAAAATAATATTGGAAAATTAAACAAATTAATATTCTGTTTTTTTGTGTTTATTTGTAGTTAGGAATTATTGCTGTGTTTAAAAACACAATCTAAACGATCATCTTAATTACTTGTACTGCCCAAATCGAAAATATAAAAAAAAATATTTTTTTCCCATAAATAATTAAAAATGCATCCAACCTTAAAAGTCGAAATATCTCAAAAACGGCTAACTATAACGAAAACTCACAGGAGAGCTTTTTTATGCAGAAAAGTGCGAAGAATCAGTTTTTTTATTCAAAAAGCAAAAAATTGCACTATGAAAAATTTTTCGGTCATTTTAATACACTACAGGTACAGTAGAGAGCGCCCTGTAGCGGCTACAGTAAAACTATGCCCATGGTTCGTTTTGTCGTACCAAAAAACCCTTGTATACCAATTTTCACTGTTATACATCAAATATTGTTCGAAATATTTAAAAAAAACTATTTTAGAAAGTAAATTTAAACACCCTGTATTTCGGAAGTCACGCATTTTTCGACCCATGTTTATATAGACTTTATGCATTAATTTTAAAAGTTCTATCGAATCTTAAAGTTATGCAACAATAAACTGTATAAAATAAACAACATAACAAATTCTGAGACCGCATAATAACATTAAGGATAGTTATAAACTTCATTATACAAAAGTTACTAAAAACTTCATAGAACATCAAATATTAAAAAAAAGTGGGTTTCCATTTAAAAATCGTGCGATATCTTCGTTGGACCACTCCGAACTTTTTAGTGGTGTGTCAAATGGACGTGTTTACGTTGTTCAAATTCTGTATCGCGTTTTTAACATTTCGGCTTGTTTTACCCTTACCTAAAATGTTTCAAAGCCACCTGCGTCTGCCGCCATAGATCCTCCAGCTCCTGCTCCGGCCCCTTGGCGTATACCGCGGTGATGGTGGCCTGCTCCAGTTTGCCCGCGGTCCCAGTTTTCGGGCTCGGCTGCGCGCCGGTCGAATTCGGCGCCCTCATTTGCGACAGTCGGCCCAGGAAGTCGTCCTTGAACGAGCGCGCTCTTCTCGCTAACTTGGCGGTACCCCTGAACGATGCCTTGTGTCCGCCACCGATCGGGGAAGGCGACGACGGTGTCGACGGAACCACCGGCGAGTGGTCGTTTTCTGGAAAGGAAAAATCTGTAACGTCGAGACACATCTGTAGCGTTTTGTAAAAAAATCATTGGACAGTTTATATAATGAAAAAGAGAATGGAGCAAGCGCGGCATAGGGGCACATAACACACAAAAATGGTGTACTTTATCTGAAGTCACTTGAAACACTGTGAAATACCGGGTGCGTTTTATATATCTATATTTAACACGCTCTGTTGCTGCAAAAATCGCCAAATTTCGCAGCAAATATCCCCCGTATAAGATCAAAGGCAGTTTCACCGGTCCAGGTGGAGTAAAGCACGCCTATGCGTGGACATAGCCAATGAGAAAGCGTGTATTTCAGAGCTCCGAACAAGTGCAGGTGGCTACTGAAAATTGAAACAGTTTAGCCAGTGCCGTGTAGCGGTGAATAAACGTGTTTTCTTTAGTCTGTCCGTGTTTTTTCATAGATTTTATTAGTTTGTGTGTTTTTGACTTTTGAATACTTAGTTTACTTGTTGATTTAATTGTTGTGTTGATTGTTCTTGTGTGTCCTAAATATGGCTCTTTGGAGACCTTGGGAAAATGCTCCAAGCCACGAGGAGATGGTTGATGAACCTGCGCAGGCAGAATTCTTTCATAAAGATTTAGAGGAACAGACCCAAAGAGTAATCCTAAATATGTATGATTGTCTGAAAAACGAAAATCCAGATTCCTCGCAAAATCAAATTTTAAACAGAATTTGTATCCTGACAAAAATCAGTCGGTCTACCATTTATCGGGTTACAAAAAGGGGAGATGTAGTCAACCATTCCTTCCACAGAAAGCGCATAGGGCAAAAATTAAAAAGAATAGACGTGGGTTTTCAGGAAGATATTCGTCGTATAATATACGGATTTTATAAAGAAAATTTGGTGCCCACTTTGGAAATGATACGGGATAAATTAAAAGATTATCCTGAAGATTTTTATAATTACAAATGCTTAGACTCACTGCACTGTATTGTAAAACTGTGTGGTTTTCAATACAAAAAATTATATAAAAGAATGGTGATTATGGAGTCGTCTCGAATCGTTGAATTGCGCCAAGAATTTTTGCACAAAGTTAAAATCTATAGAGAGCAGAAAAGAAATCTGATTTACCTGGATGAAACGTGGTATGATACTCATGATGTTGTGCAGTACGGCTGGGTTGACGACAGCAACAAGTGCATTTTAAATGCACCATGCAACCGTGGAAAACGAATCATTATTCTCCATGCTGGCAGTGTAAATGGATTTATACCTAATGCCTTGCTGTTATCTGCCAAAAATATCAAAGAATCAAGTGCCGACTATCATGAGGACATGACCTCCGACTTATTTGAAAAGTGGATAGAGCAGCAGTTAATACCAAACATTTCCCCAAATTCAGTGATTATTATGGACAATGCGCCATACCATTCCCGACAGAAAAACAAAATTCCGAATACAGGCGCAAAAAAACAAGACATTATTGATTTTATGAAGGATAAGGGAATGGAAATACCACAAAAATCAACCAAAGCCATATTATTGGATCTTATTAAAAACAAAAATTTGAAAAAGATTATGTTGTTGACAATCTGCTTCAGCAAAATGGCCATGAAGTATCTACCTCCCTATTACTGCATTTTTAACCCGATTGAGTTGGTCTGGGCTGCTTTAAAAAAAAAGTAAGAAAACATAATCAGACCCCTCAATTAAGTGAATCGCTATTGGCCACAATAAGAGATGCAGTATCTCATATTGCTGCCACAGACCTATGGAAGCAATGTTCTAGGCATATTATTGAAAAAGAAAATGAATATTGTGTTTTGCCTCCTGTAAATCCCGTTGTAATTCCTCTACAAGATGACTCTAGCGATAGCTCCGAAGGCGAGGATGATATATAAATACCTATAATGTAAGTCTTTATCTACCTTTTTATATACCTACCTGCTATGTAAATATTTGCCTATGTCAAACGTTGGAATTCTGTAATTTTTCCATTTCTTAACTTTCAGTCAACATAAATTAAACTCCCAATATAAGTATTTTTTATCCCAAATCAAAAAAATAAGAAGATAGTAATGTGATATAAAAACATTATTATTATCGTTCTAAATAAATGACCGCACGCCTATGATACGTCATGAAATTACAAAGGACGCGCCGACCAAAGGTTTTTATGCTATTTCAAGTGACTTCAGATAAAGTATACGTAGAAGTTAAATATTTGTTCCAATGGAGACGTAATAAAATTAAATATTCAACTGTAATAGGGATTCAAAACATCAAGTAAATTATAGCCCCACAACTCTTACAGCAAATACATCAAACATATACAGGGTGAGTTTTAAGTGTGGTCGATAACTTTGTTGTTGCGCATACTATCTAAAAACAAATAATTACAAAAATTATCAACAGTGTGCTTCTTACTTGGAAACTATTTTTATCTCTACGGGGTGATTCATAACTAATTATGCGTTAACCCAAACGTACATTTTTTAAATTGAAAGCATTCTATTGCAGATTGGATAAACTCTTTCAGACGATGCAATTTGGTATAACAAACTATAGGGGTCTATTTCTAAATTGTCTATCGAATATAACCCTTAACTTTACTCACACCTCCGCAACTGTTATAGCTAGAGTAATGAATTTTTTGTTTTGAAAAAATATCGAATTGAAAATTTGATTACGCCATCTTGTAGAGGAGAACAAGTAACAATGCAATTTATAGTAAAATCCCATCTCAAATAAAGTCAGGAAAAAATAGACGTGATTTTGCGATCCTGAATACCGACAAACGCTAGCGCAAGTATTATAATACGCTTTTTGGGTCGCTGAAACCGAATCCATGGCCCATTCAGTCCGAAAATGCCTCGTTTTCGTGATACTGGCAAGAATTCAACTTTGTCAAAAAACGACTAATAAAAAATATCTTAAAACTGTTGCGCGTCTATGATCGAGACGGAAGCTTGTTTCCTGGGTAAATCGGGTGCGTAGATTCCAAATTCGATGTCGATACAGTGCTACAAATTACGGCTAGCCCGCAAAAATGGTTTCCTGTCAACTTTTCACCCTAAATCCAGTCTAATGACACTTTGGATTTTTTCACTATGATATTAATATTCAGCGCCCCAAATTACCCCATTGAGCAAAGCTTCAGTTCCATGTAGTCATCGATAGTAAAAATGGGGTTTTAGGTACCTTAGAGTCGCAAAAAACGCGTAGTTTTGCAATTTTTAAATGATAAACGGGATCAGATACACGTGGAACGACTTCGGATTCGGTATTGGGAGTTCAAAATACCTGGAATAAAGGTCATTTGAACCGCATTTAAAGCATTTTAACATATATATATATATATACATACAATTGTACGCGAAATACTTCGAAGTTGAGTCATTTATTTTAACAGTGAGTAGATCTGATCAAAAGAAATGTTTTTTTCCTTTACCATTTTTCTGGTAAAATTAAAGTAACAAAGTTATAGCCCTTTGGAAGTTTGAGTACCGCCCTGTCTCAATAATAATATTATGTGCTCGTGTTTGGAAACAACGGATATAATCCGCCTTATCGGTTCATCGCATCGGAAACAAAAAACCGAAATAATTTGGAACGATGTTTTTACAATTATTTTATTCAGTTGTATACAGTCAGTGTCAGTCGGTAACGCGTGAGTGAATAGTGGTGTCTGTTACGTGGCTCAAACGAAATAAAAAATGGCACATGTTTATGCGGATCGGTTTCCCAATCGAGTGCAACCAACCCCTCGTGCCTTTGTTAATGTAGTACAACGGGCTCGTGAATCAGGTGACTTAAGACCTCACAGGGGACGGCATGCCGGTGCTCCAAGACCTCACGGTCAAATACAGGTCCGCACTGAAATACTTGTCGGGAGGATACTTTATAAAACAAGGTAAATTTTTTTTTATTTTTACACACATATTTTGGTTTATCTTCCTTCTACAATCATTATCTGAAAATTAATGACTCAACTTCAAAGTCACCCTGTATATCCGATTTTGAGTCTCCGTCCCGATTGTGTCATTTAAAAAATTTTACCAGGACTTGTCTAATGAATTTTATATACATATATTTTTTATGTTTTTTTTTTAGTCTTAAGTTATTTATACATGAGCTCATGCCCAAGCACAAGTTTCTGCGAAACTTTTTTGGGTCCATTCGTTTATTGTATAATATTGTCTTTCATCTACTACTGCTATACTTTTTCTTTTGCAATAAACTTATTATATATATATATAGGGGTATTGTTACCAAAAAGGCACAAAATGGGTATTTCTTGCCGAACACTGTTTCGCAAGCGTCTGAAAACCTCCAAATAGCACAAGCTCTCGAATTTTTCCAACATTTTCGTCGATTCGGGCTGCTGATGGTCGTCCAGAGCGAGGTTTGTCATCAATCGACATGTCGCCATTTTTAAATCGAGCCAACCACTCGTACACCTCAGTTTTTCCCACAGCATCATCTTTGTAAGCTATTTTCAACACCAAAACAGTTTCAGTTGCATTTTTACCGATTAGAAAGCGAAATTTCACAGATGCACGTTGCTCACTGAAGGTTGCCATTGTAAAACAGCTCTAACAAAAATAATGACTACAGAGGATCGAATGTGGCACTGAGCTGGTAATGAGTTGCGCTGTACGCCTCTAGGGGCGGAAATGTGTACTACACAAGCTGCGCCCACTGCAGTGCTATTCCGGTTATTTTTGGGTACCTCCTCGTATAAGCGTTTTCTACAAAAATCAGTAGAAAAACGTTTGAACGAATAATCGTTTCAAGTATTTAATTGTTTAAACGCTTCTTATGACAAACATGTTTAAACATGGTTCATGAAAACATTTGTTTAACAATGTTTTGAGTGGCGCTCAAAAGGTTGTAATTCATAATCGGAAAATGAGTCAGAGTGCTATTTCGCACAAGGGATGGAGAAAAGAATAGCGAGCGCGCAACAATCAAATCACGTGGTCTTGCGTCTAGTTATTTGGATATGGTATATGCGAAT